GGTTTGAATTTACGTCGGGTCAATAACAAGTCTTGTTAATTTCAAGTCGAGTTAGTAATAGATCGGGTTCAATTTTTGGGTCGGGTTAGTAATAGGTCTGGTAAAATTCGGGTCGGGTCAATAAATAGTCGGGTTCAATTTGGGTCAGGTCAATAACAAGTCGGATTGATTTTGGGTCGGGTTTGTAACAGGTGAGGTTAAATTTGGGTCGAGTAAGGAACAAGTTGGGTTGATTTTGGGTCAGGTTTGTAACAAGTGAGGTTAAATTTGGATCGAGTAAGGAACAAGTCAAGTTGAATTCAGGTTAGGTTAGTAACAAGTTGGGTTAAATTCAGGTTTTGACGTGTTAAAACGGGTTTGGGTCAATTTTAGTTCAAATCGGGTTCGGTGCAAGTTGATTAAATTGGCTATTGTAAACCGGTAAATCGGTGCAAGTTGTAAACCGATAAATTGGCCGTTTAAAAGCAAATTGGATGGTTCCACACACCCAATTGGACTCCCATAGGATATTAGAGACCATGGTGAACATTTCGGCAATTTTTATTTCTGGGCGAAATAAATTCAAAAAATTCCAAAATTGAAGACTAATATCCACGCTTTTTGAGAAATTTTAGAGGTTTGAGGGCTCGGGGTCGAAAATTCTTGAAATTCTATGGGATACATCTCGGGGTCATATAATGTCATTCGGAACCATATATGATCATTATTTGTTGTCATAAATGTTCGTGGTAGACTTGAATTAATGAAATCAGTGCAAATTGTAAACTGGTAAATTGGTCATTTAAAGGCAAATTGGATGGTTCCAACCACCCAATTAAACTCTCAGAGGGTAATAGGGACCATGGTAAATGTATCGGAAATTTTTATTTCCAGGCGAAAAAAAGTCAAATAATTTCAAAATCGAAGGCTAATATCCACGTTTTTTGAAAATTTTTGGAGATTTCGGGGCCAAGTGTAGAAAAATCTTGGTATTTTAGGGAATAAATCTCGAGGTTATACAATGCCGTTTGGAACCATATATGATCATTATATGTTGTCATAAGTGTTTGTAGTATGCTTGATTTAATGAAATACGTGCAAGTTGTAAACTGGTAAATTGGTCGTTTAAAGGCAAATTGGATGGTTCCACCAACCTAATTGGACTCCCGAAAGGTATTAGATACAATGGTAAATATTTCGGCCATTTTTATATCGGGGCAAAAAAAATTAAAAAATTCCAAAATTGAAGACTAATATTCACGCTTTTTGAGAAATTTAGGAGGTTTCGGGGCCCAATGTCAAAAAGTCTTGAAATTCTAGGGGATACATCTCGGGGTCATATAATGCCGTTTGGAACCATTTATGATCATTATTTGTTGTCATAAATGTTCGGGGTAGGCTTGAGTTAATGAAATCGGTGCAAGTTGTAAATCGATAAATTGGTCGTTTAAAGGCAAATTGGATGTTTTCCACCCACCCAATGGAACTCCTGGACAGTATAAGGGATCATGGTAAACATTTCGGCAATTTATATTTTCGGGCGAAAAAAAGTCAAAATTTCAAAATTGAAGGCTAATATCCACGTTTTTTGAGAAATTTAGGAGGATTCAAGGCCGGTGTCGAAAAGTCTTGAAATTCTAGGGGATGCATCTCGGGGTCACATAATGCCGTTTGGAACCATATTTGATCATTATTTTTTGTCATAAATGTTCGTGGTAGGCTTGATTTAATGAAATTGGTGCAAGTTATAAACCGGTAAATAGGCCGTTTAAAGGCAAATTGGATGGTTCCACCCACCCAATTGGACTCCCGAAGGATATTAGGGACCATTGTAAATATTTCGGCAATTATTATTTCTGGGAGAAAAAAGTTTAAAAATTCCAAAAATTAAGGCTAATATCCACGTTTTTTGAGAAATTTTGGAGGTTTTTGGACCCGGTATCGAAAAGCCTTGAGATTCTAGAGCATACATCTAGAGGTCATATAATGTCGTTTGGAACCACATATGATCATTATTTGTTGTCATAAATGTTCGTGGTAGGCTTGAGTTAATGAAATCAGAGCAAGTTGTAAATTGGTAAATTGGTGGTTTAAAGGCAAATTAGACGGTTCTACCCACCCAATGGGACTCCCGGACAGTATTAGGGATCGTGGTAAATATTTCAGCAATTTTTATTTCTGGGCGAAAAAAAAGTCAAAAAGTTCCAAAATTGAAGGCTAATATCCACGTTTTTTGAGAAATTTAGGAGAATTCGGGGCCCGTTGTCGAAAAGTCTTGAAATTCTAGGGGATGCATCTGAGGATCATATAATGTCGTTTGGAGCCATATTTGATCATTATTTGTTGTCATAAATGTTCGTGGTAGGCTTGATTTAATGAAATCAGTGCAAGTTATAAACCGGTAAATAGGTCGTTTAAAGGCAAATTGGATGGTTCCACCCACCCAAATGGACTCCCGAAGGGTATTAGAGACCATAGTAAATATTTCGACAATTATTATTTCTGGGAGAAAAAAGTTTAAAAATTCCAAAAATAAAGGCTAATATCCACGTTTTTTGAGAAATTTTGGAGGTTTTTGGACCCAACATCGAAAAGCCTTGAGATTCTAGAGCATACATCTCGAGGTCATATAATGTCGTTTGGAACCACATATGATCATTATTTGTTGTCATAAATGTTTGTGGTAGGCTTGAATTAATAAAATCGGTGCAAGTTGTAAACAGATAAATTGGTCGTTTAAAGGAAAATTGGATGGTTTCACCCACCCAATTGGACTATCAAAGGGTATAAGGGACCATGGTAAACATTTCGGCAATTTTAATTTTGGAACCGAAAAAAAGTCAAAAAATTCCAAAATTGTATGCTAATTGTCCGCGCTTTTTGAGAAATTTTGGAGGTTTCGGGGCCTAGTGTCGCAAAGTCTTGAGATTTTAAGAAATACATATGGGCGTCATATAATGCTGTTTGGAACTATATATGATCATTATATGTTGTCATGGATGTTCGTGGTAGGCTTGGGTTGATGAAATCGGTGCAAGTTGTAAACCGGTAAATTGACCGTTTAAAGGCAAATTGGATAGTTCCACCCACCCAATTGGACGCCCGGAGGGTATTTGGGACCATGGGAAACATTTCGGAAATTTTTATTTCCTGGCTAAAATAAGTCAAAAAATTCCAAAATTGAAGGCTAATATCCACGCTTTTTGTGAAATTTTGGAGGTTTCGTGTCCCGGTGTTGAAAAGTCTTGAAATTCTAGGGGATACATCTCTGGGTCATATAATGCTGTTGGATCCATATATTTTCATTATTTGTTGTCATAAATGTTCGTGGTAGGTTTGAGTTAATGAAATCAGTACAAGTTGTAAATTGGTAAATTGTTCGTTTACAGGCAAATTGGATGGTTCCACCCACCTAATTGGACTCCCGGAGGGTATTAGGGACCATGGTAAACATTTCGACAATTTTTATTTTCGGGCGAAAAAAAAATCAAAAAGTTCCAAAATTGAAGTCTAATATCCACGCTTTTTGAGAAGTTTTGGAGGTTTTGGGACCCGATGTTGAAAAGTCTTGAAATTTTAGGAAATACTTATCGGGGGTCATATAATGTTGTTGGAACCATATATGATCATTATATGTTGTCATAAATGTTTGTGGTAGGCTTGAGTTAATGATATCAGTACAAGTTGTAAATTGGTGAATTGGTCGTTTACAGGCAAAGTTCCACCCACCTAAATGGACTCCCGGAGGGTATTAAGGACCATGGTAAACATTTCGGCAATTTTTATATTCGGGCGAAAAAAGTCAAAAAGTTCCAAAATTGAAGTCTAATATCCACGTTTTTTGTGAAATTTTGGAGGTTTCGGGGTCTGTTGTAGAAAAGTCTTGAAATTTTAGGGAATACATCTCGGGGTCATATAATGTCGTTTGGAACCATATATGATCATTATTTGTTGTCATAAATGTTCGTGGTAAGCTTGAATTAATGAAATCTGTGCAAGCTGTAAATCGGTAAATTGACCGTTTAAAGGCAAATTGGATGGTTCCACTTACCCATTTGGACTCCCGGAGGGTATTAGGGACAATGATAAATATTTCGGCATTTATTATTTTCGGGCGAAAAAGTGTCAAAAAATTCAAAAATTAAAGACTAATATCCACGCTTTTTGAGAAATTTTGGATTCTTAGGGACCCGGTGTCTAAAGTCTTGAAATTCTAGGGAATACAACACAACATCATATAATGACGTATGGTCCCATATATGATAATTTTTTGTTGTCATAAATGTTCATGGTAGGCTTGAAATTAATGAAATCGGTGCAACTTGTAAACCGGTAAATTGGCCGTTTAAAGGCTAATATTTGATGGTTTCACCTAGCCAATTGGACTCTCGGAGGGTATTAGGGACCATGGTAAATATTTCAGCAATTTTTATTTCCAGGTGAAAAAAGTCAAAAAAAAATTCCAAAAAGGCTAATATCCACGTTTTTTTGAGAAATTTTGGAGGTTTCGGCCGTATAAGTTTAAGTAGAGTTTTATTAGAGTTTTGTTGAACAAATCTCCAATACTTCTTCCGTTCTGTTAATATTGCAACAATGGACTTTTTGCACTATTCATCACTCTTGTTTGACCATATAATATGATTTATACATTATGCAAAATATGGTCATGTGAGATCTTGATGGATTCGTCTCATAAAATACTTTCACAATATCAACTTTTTATAATTTTTATTCTTACACAATTATAGATATCTAGCATATAAAATGTGCATTGACATGCGTAATTCCCTCCTTGTTGCAATATTAATAGAACGGAGGAAGTATTTTTTTTTTTTTTTTATAATTTTATAATTATACTAGTATTTAAAAAATAGATGTTGAGACGAACTTAATAAGACCCAAAATGACTATTTTTCTCAACACGAAATCACAAAACAAACTCAAAGCAACTTATGTAAATAGTGAACATATTTAAACCGTGTCATGAGTGTCATCTAATTTAGAACGGAAGAAGTACCTGTATTGTTGGCTAAACCCCAAGAAACGTGAAAAATGTAGATGTCACGTGTTTTTATGGTTGAAAAAGAAACAACCAACAGCCAGCTCTCGGAATCTTCTTACAACGGAGCCGCCGTGCCACCGGAATGCCAATCAAATCACAAAAATTACACCAACTCATCTAATCTTAAGCCTTGATTTTTAACATTTAAACTCATTTTTTTGACAATTTTCCAAAATCTTCGCTGACTCCAGGTACCTCTACCACTCTACCTTATCTTGATTTAGTTGTACATTCATATTTTCTCTCACCTTAGATTACAAGTTTTCAAGCTTTTTATAAGTACCATTTTTATTTTCAAAGTGGGTAATTATCTAGAAAAAGCACCTACATTTCCCATAATTTTGAATATTGGGGTTTAATTGTTGATTTTTTACACTTTTGTGGATGATCATATCAATCTTATAGATCAAAATCATCAAATTCCCTTTTTGCAGTTTTTAACTTGCTTATTCTGTTGGCAACAATTTGCTTTTGATACCTTTTTTTTTGGTGGGGTTCTCTGTTTGAAGTTAGAAATCTTAGAATGCTATAAAATTGTACCCTTTTGAGCTTTGATCTTGCTTATTTAGTTTAATTTATAATCTTTTCCAGTTATCCCATTTTGTTGAAGATTCCAATTAGCTCAAATTTGAGTTCCTGTACTTGCTCATAAATCCCATGTACTAAAATTCATGTTTGATGATGCATATAAGTTTATGGATGCTGCAAATTCCCTAGCCAAAACCATCTGACTTATTGATATATGCTAAGTACTAGAGAAACAGCCTTGTACTGTAGAGGAAGATGTCGATCCTCTGTGGTTTACCTCTTATTGAGTGTGTATACTGCCTAGGCTGTGCTCGTTGGGCGTGGAAGCGGTGTCTTCACACGGCTGGCCATGATAGTGAGGATTGGGGGATTGCTACTGCTGAGGAATTTGAGCCTGTACCTCGATTGTGTCGGTACATTCTTTCTGTTTACGAGGATGATCTACGAAACCCTCTCTTTGCACCACCTGGAGGTTATGGAATGGACTCGGATTGTTTAGTAACTAAAAGGACATACAAAGATACACAAAAACATGCGCCTCCGTATATAGTGTACCTTGATCATGATCATGGTGATATAGTTCTTGCCTTTAGGGGGTTAAATATGGCTAAGGAAAGTGATTATAAAGTCCTTTTGGATAATAAGTTGGGAAAAAAGAAATTCGATGGAGGTTATGTGCATAATGGTCTATTTAGAGCTGCTGTTTGGGTTTTGGAGAAAGAGGGTGATTTGTTGAGGGAGCTGATTGAAAAACATCCAGATTATACATTGACTTTTGCTGGTCACTCCCTTGGGTCGGGTGTTGCAACACTTCTGACAATGGTGGCTGTGCATAACCTAGAAAAATTGGGAAATATTGACAGGAAAAAGGTTAGAGGCTATGCTATTGCACCTGCTAGGAGCGTTTCACTAAATCTTGCTGTAAGATATGCAGATGTCATCAACTCTGTTGTGCTTCAGGTAAGGAATCCATGTGATCCTTTAGTTGTCAAATTGTTGGAAGATTTGTTATTGAGTGGTTTATGTTTACCATAAGTCCATAAACATACATTTTTATCATGCAATCAATTAGCTTAAATATGTTACTGTATTTTCCTTTGTGTGAGAAAAATCTCATGATAACTACTCCTTGTCTCCACAGCATAATTATCTAGGTGATAGGCACACTCTAAGTGGAAACATTATTCAGTACTTTTCTGAGCTCTTTTAAAGCACATTTTAATTGTTGTGTAGAAGTTCCTTGAAATTGATCCTAAATGTATGTGAATTAGTGACGAACTTTCACGTGGTGAATTGGGCTTTGGCTTTTATTAATCTTCACTTCCTGTATGCTTGTGGGACTCTCAAAAGTATTGAACTTACATTTTTTATTTTAACTTTTAAAAATTTGGGTTTGTGGAACAGAGTAAGAGGACCCGTTTGTGTGCTTTTGTTTCACAATAGACCTTCTTGGGGTCCATTCATGGTGATCAACTCAGGAGTCTTATGGATTATGTGTTGTGTCGTGTCAACATTCCTTGAATATGAGCCAACCATGTTGTTTGATTTGTTGATTGTTTTTGAGTGATGTAATCATAGCAATTATGTCAACTAACATGCTTGAGAGGTCAAAACAAAGAGCTAGTTTTTCTATAGACTATCACAGTTAATAATACAGATAATCTGAATATATGCTACCGGTTAGAACAAGATGAAGCATCAACATGACTGTAGAAATATAATTGTGAGTTGTGACTTAGAGAGGACATAATGTGCTTGATGGGTAACCTATTTCAAAAAATTAGGAGATGTTGACCACGAAGAAGATTGCCCTTGGGCTCTTTGAGGCAATCAAGTAATTCATTCAGAAGAAAGGTCCACGTATTGAGTCTGGAAAAAAAAAAATGTTCCTGATTTATTGGACACCTACATTGATCTTTGGTCTTTAAGATGGCTGAGAAAGGATAAATGATGAATCTTTGATATTTTTATTCATTGCATACTATTCTATGGCATGATATATTGATAGACTGTCTTCTTTCTCTTATCTAGCTTATTTGTGGAGGAAGTCCTTACAAGTTAATCCCCCACCCTCTTATTTACAATAGGCTTTTTCTCATGATAATTAAACAGAGATGTTGAAACATGTTGTGCATATTCTACTTCTTTCCTTTCAATTTTCCACAGCCCTTTCTTTCCCTTGCATACTACAGACCTCTAACATGCATTTCTGTATAAACCAGGATGACTTTTTGCCAAGGACAGCAACGCCTCTAGAAGACATATTCAAATCACTTTTTTGGTAATTTTTTTCTTATATAAAATCTATATTGGCTTAAGTAGCATGATAAATATGTTTATTGGGTAATGTTATTTTCATGCTAGCATACTCCTACAAGATCAAACATCCTATGTTTCATTTGTTTGATTCTATGAATGACAATTTACTTAATGATATTCTGTCACCTTTGTCTCATTCTATCACCTTTTTTCTGCTATTCTTGTTCCACAGTTTACCGTGCTTACTATGCTTAAGGTGTATGAGGGATACATGCATATCAGAGGAAAAGAAGCTCAGAGATCCAAGAAGGTTGTATGCACCTGGTCGTCTGTATCACATTGTTGAGAGAAAATTATTCAGGTAGATATCAGAGGCTCCTTATGGACTCATTACAAGACTGCAATTACTATGAATCTTTCACCAAACTAGTCATCACATTCAAATATTTAATACAAGTACTTCCTAATATCAGAGGCTCCTTAGTGGAGAACCTTTATCATTTCTCATTGACGAAGTATAACTTTGATTGTGATGATATCTAGTGGGATTCTATTCACTTTATTAATTGTATGGCAGATGTGGAAGGTTCCCTCCAGTTGTTAGGACAGCAGTTCCTGTAGATGGAAGGTTTGAGCATATTGTTCTTTCCTGTAATGCAACTTCTGACCATGCTATCATTTGGATAGAAAGGGAAGCCAAAAGGGCATTGGAGGTCAGTCACAATTTCCTTACAGCTTCTGTAGATAAATTTTGGTAAAATAGTCCACTCTATGATCCATCAGTGAGGAAAGGGTCAAAGTGTTTTTTTAAACATTGTAATGATCCAAAGTGGTCTAATTTTTGTTCCCAATGACATATGTTTACAACAACTCGGTTTGCACATTCATTCCACTTGCCCTCAAAAGGGTTTGGGTAGCTAATAGCTATACTGATATAGATCATAAACCATGATTTGGGAGCCTGTACTCACTGTCTGAAATTCTTTGGCACTCTCTAGTCTCTACAACTGAATTAGCTAAGATTTTCATTACTTTATCTTGGTTGTTCTACAGTCCATGCGTGCATGTCAATTTGATCACTAGAAATTATTTTAAGTGAAGATGAGCAATAAGCTTAAAAGACACCACAGTCAATGCTTACTTTTCCTTGACAATTGAAATAGATCTTCTGCAGTAGCTGTGTTTCCTATTGGGTGTATTCTGTTATTTTTGTTCTAGGTCATTTTAAAATTTTAAATTTATATGGCTTTTCGAGAATCATAACGTTAGTCTTAATTCATTTAACCTTAAACCACTTTCTGAACTTAGTAGCCATAATGAATTTTATAACTTATGTTCTTATTAACCCTTAGACTTGTCTGAACCTATTTGCCCTTCTCTAAAATTTCTGAACTGATTGGCTCTTATCTGAAAATATATATTTTTTCCCCGAATCTTACTGTTTTATGGGTGAAATGACATAATGCCTTATTCTTGATTTCTTTTTTCTTTTTTTGATAAACTTATTCTTGATATCTTATATCAAATGCTCTTAAAAAATAGATTAAAAAAACTCCTTTGTGGGTAGGCAAGATTCATTTTGGGACTAATTCTATATTATAGTTCGATTCCTTCAGAATCACTGCAGATTATTAGTTTATTACAGTAATGAGTTTCTAAGTTCTAACTATTGATTTACCTCACTTCCCCTGAATACAGCTGATGCAAGAGAAAGATGATGTAATGGAAATTCCAGTTAAGCAAAAGATGGAGAGGCAGGAGACTTTGGCCAGAGAACATAGTCAAGAACACAAAGCAGCGTTGCAGAGAGCTGTCACGTTATCTGTACCTCATGCAATTCTTCCTTCCCAATATGGAACTTTTGAGGATCTTGATGACGAAAGTGAGCATTCAGATGGATCTTTCCAAGGGACACCTTCTGAGGAATCATCTAAGGGAAGCAAAAAGAAGGAAAGCTGGGATGAATTAGTTGCACGTCTTTTCGACAAGGATGAAACTGGTCATCTCATCCCCAAAAAAGGCTCTTAGTATTTAGAACTACCATGTGTATGTTGTATTGTTGTGTTATGAGTTATTCTTTCTATTCTTTACCAATTGTTTTCCCGGATTTGGCATTTGTTTCTCGAACATAATTAAAAGAGTTGTTCCACTTTGTTAGAGGCATTAAACTTAGTAGATGATATGACAATGGCTGCAACATTCCTCTATTATAATCTATGTCAGGAGTTGCTCTGGTCAAATTTCAGTAATTGTATAAGATTGAGCAGGTACATTTGCAAATGAGTGACGAAAATGAAGTTAATCTTCGATGTCGATTGGGTCTCTGAAAGTTGGCAATTAGACAGTTGACATGTCATCAAGATCGAAGCTTGATGCAAGTGTTGTGATAGGGAAGATAGAACTGAGCCCTGAGTACCATGTTTGATTGTAGATTTGCAGTACTGCTCAGCTTTCAAAGTGATTTTAACATCCTGTATTCTTTTGTTAAGTAGGATATTGCCTTTAATATTGTCTTAGGGAGTACAATGCTCTAATTAAAGCGATGAATTGAGATTATGTACGGAGTAATTTTAATTTTGAAACATTTATGACAATTATGAGTGGATACTACATTTATTGATTTATGCATTTATGAGTACATTTTAGGGGTAGTCATGTAATAAGCTTCAAAACTATATATTGACTCAAGGTTGGTTGAGTGAACAACTAGGAACAATGATTTTCTTTAACTACCAACAAGTGTTTAGATCAGCTCGTAAAAAGAGTTGTTCTAGCTTAACCAAGATCTCGAGTTTGAGACTTGAGGACACAACAACACTTGTTGAGAAAGCTTTTCCTTCAATTGGTTCTAATCCGGATTAGCCGGAATCCAATTGGCTTTGGATTACCAAATACACTTATATTGAAAAAAAAAAATTTTAAAATTTCAAAAAATAACACCTTTTTTTCAATTGCTTAAAAAAACCTGTTTCATTTCATGACAGCTAAATCGGTTGATAAAGTTACTTCATTTCAATTTTTCAGTGTCACAACATCCGTACTCTCCGAAGTTTCAATTCCAATTTTTTTTCCTTCTCATTTTTAATTCCTCTATTAATTTTTTTCCCTTTTTTGTCCTCTCTCAATCTTTCTCAAAGATAATGGCATCGTTGCTTCAAATTCTTCTCTTTTTTGCTTTTATGAATTTTTTCTCGAGTTCCTCAGCTGAAATGTAAGTTAATTTGGTTGATTCGATTACTGGGTATCAGTTAATTTGGTTTGATTTTGTCTTGATTTACTATATTTGATCTGGGTGCTCATTTATTTGAAATTATATGCATCTTTTTGCACTGTATAATTTCAATAGTTACTTCAGTTCTTGTTTATTGTGAAAGTTAGATTATGTTCTTTGATTTTTGGGGTTTTTTTTAGAAGTGCACTGATTTTGGATTGATTTGTTTATTCATTTTCTGTAAATACATCATGTTAACTCACTGATTTAGTATAAATCATTACTTGATTGCTGCTCAGCTGATAATGCATTAAAATTTTGACTGATGTGAAATTTATTTAGATTGGAGAATTTTTTAGAAGGTTAATACTGATTTCTGTGCTTAATTGTGTGGGGAAGAATCTATTATGGAGTAATTGATGTTCAAATTTAGGATTGATTGATAAATTGATCTTTCAAGATATTTGTTACTCCTAGTTTTGTTAATAGAATATGCTACTCAGTCATTGATTTCGTTTTCGGTAGTTTCGAGTAGTTTCAGATGTAAAAGTTTCTGAATGGTCAATGCACTGTGCTTTTGTTGTTCAGTAGTAGCAGAAAGGAAGTAAGAAGTAAAGAAACAATCCAGGAAAATCTTGTAAAGTCGAGCAGGATCGATCCATCAAGGGTTGTTCAGCTGTCTTGGCAACCAAGGTCAGGTATTTTGGCACACGAATTGCTGTCAAATTGCTTTAGATCTTCCCTTACCTGAATTGTAGTATTTTCTCTAATGCAAGGCGAGAAAAGATATGCTATTCATTATGTGTTGTTTGTGAAGAACTAGAAGTTACTATACATACTAGCTACTAGCATAGTGTATGTATGGAATTTTCGTATTGCGTATCACCTTTTCTCTACTCGGAAATTGATTGAAAGTTTTTAAATGGGACAGGGTCTTTGTTTATAGAGATTTTATCTCTGAAGAGGATTGTGACCATCTCATCTCTCTGGTAAGTCTCTTTGCATCACCGAGTCAAAATTGCCAATTTGTGCCTGAATTGGTCTTGATGCCGTTCCTTACTAATTTATTAGGCACATGGACAGAGCGAAGGAGCCAACTCTGTGGTCAGTGACACCCAAGGACTGAGTACAAGATCACTAGTCACTCTTGATGTGAAAGTAAGCTCCCATGTTTGGTATGAAGTGATTTATTATTTTATTGCCTAATAAGTGCTTGCAGCTGTTTGGGCTAGTTTTAAGAAATGTATGTAAAATATTTTACCATGTTCATTCTTCTCTAGGATGAAGTAGTTGCAAGAATAGAGGAAAAAATTTCAGCATGGACTCTTCTTCCTCTAGGTATTCTCTCTTATTCGAGGGTATCATCTGAACTTTGAAACTAATAATATAAGGTACCTTACCCTTATAGTCTTCTCTACTTTGTTGTGTTAACAGAGAATAGTAGGGCTTTAGAAGTTCAGCATTATGGGAATGAAGAAGCCAAACAGAAAAATGACTATTTTGGGAATCAGTCTGCCTGGCAAGTTAGTGAACCTTTGATGGCAACTGTTATCTTGTTTCTTTCAGACGTGTCTCGAGGTGGTGAGATTTCCTTCCCTGAGTCACAGGTAACAATGACCTCATGATCACTTTTCTTTTGTTTTTGACCTAGATGGAATTTTTAGTGCAATTCTAATGTTCTTTTTCCCTCCACTGCAAAGAAAATCTGTTTATACGATCTTCGAATATGTGATGAACATTTTCAGACAAAGGAAGTATATCTGATGACTGCTCAAACTTGTAAATTTTACTGAACATTTGCTTTTTGTAGTTCTTAATGTATGATTCTCTTCAGTCTTCAACTCGACTGAACAATGATTCTTTAGGCAAAGGGAATTCTCTACTAATTTTCAATTCAGTACCCTGTTTGATAACAAATGATCTTAGCAATGAGGCTGGGCATTGTCATATGCAAGCCACTGAACTGTTTGCTGCTTTTATTTATTTATTTATTTTTTCTAAGAACATTACACGAATTAGATGGTATTTTATCATTAATATATAGCTGGTTAATCAACTTGTGATTAAATTTGCAGCTCAAAGCCTCTCGATTGAGGACCAGAGTGTGGTCTACTAACCATGACAAGCTGCTAAGACCTATCAAAGGGAACGCTATTCTGTTTTTCAGTGTCCGCCCCAACGCATCTCCTGACAAAAGCAGTCGCCATGAGAGAAATCCTGTTCTTGAGGGTGAATTGTGGTGTGCCACCAAATTCTTTCACATACGATCAATAGTAAGTAAGAGAAACATTCTATCTGAGTCAGACAACAGTGACTGCAGCGATGAAGATGAAAATTGCCCACAATGGGCTGCACTTGGTGAATGTCAAAAGAATCCAACATTCATGGTTGGTTCTCCTGATTATTATGGGACGTGTAGGAGGAGCTGTCATGTTTGCTGATTCATTGAATTACAGTCAAGAAGCTTTTAGCAGGATTTAGTGGTAGCCGGTTAGGTTTAGTATTTTTTCTTCTTTGAAATCCATATCCATGTGCATCTCTATAACTCGATTGGCAGATATCATGAATGAAACTGCTAATCTTACGAGCTTGACAAAGTTTTGTAACTGCACTGCAGCAAGTTCTTATGTTTGAAGTTATTAACACGATACTTGATTGAGCTAACTTTTGGAGCCAGGTTTTCATACTCCGTTAGTACATCTTAAAGAAAATCAGCTGATTGATGATATCAGAGAAACACAGAATTCCAAATTTCCAATCAAAATCTGTGAACAATACAGAAACAAGTAGAACAAACTATTGTAAATATTATTGCCATGAAAGGTGATTCAGAATTTCAACCACCAATAATATTGGTCAAAAAGACTAAGAATTACAAAATTTTGCACCTACTCTTCAGGTGGAAACAGTAGTACTATTTCTTACATACAAGATTAGTTTAGCATCTGAAAGCAAGAATGTTTCAGTTTAGTTCGAGACACTATTGTTACTACTCATAATCGACGAAGAATCTAGTTTACTGATAGAACACGAAGACTTGAAAGCTCCTCAACAGGATCTTGAACACTTCATAAAAATTGATAAACAGGCTTGGGCCACACTCAACACAACTGTCCACTTTATACGACCAAGGAGGCTCCACCTCAAAACCATATGACAATAAGGGGAGGAGCCCCAAGAGCAAGTTTAGCTCCAAGTCTTAAGATTTTCCCCATTTTTCTCCTTAAGTCTCAAGCAAGTCTCTTAAGACTTGAGATTGAGACCCACCTCAATATTTTTATTTTTTATTTTATTTATTTTTTTATTATTACACTTTTCTACATATATGTCATATATTTGAGTCTAAAGGCTAAAGTGATAAATTTGGGCAAGTCTTAGTGAGTGTTAACAAGAATTTGATGACATCATTTTCGATGGAGACCACAAAAAATGATGTCACATTCAAATCTAAAGACTTGGGGTTAAACTTGCTCTTAGCATTATAAAGTGGACACAATTTTCTTATTTCTTCAATGTGGGATACACTTTCCAACACTTTCTACACTCTTCAATGTGGGACAACACACCACTCACACGTGAATTTTCTCATGGGCATAACAAAAATAAATCAAAAATTAATTTTGAGGGTACAAGCACAATTGATTTAGCTAATGCTACTACCATAGATATTGCCTGGATTTTCATGGCCCAAATTGTAATTACAGAAATACACTAGAAATTAATTGATTCCATCATTAGTTTATTTTCTCGTTTATTTTAGAGGAAGCCCCAGTTTATCAATTTGATAAACAAAATTTGTTTATCAAATAGCAAAATGGTAAATAAAACAACGTAAATGCCCGGTCATCATGACATTTACGTAAATATATCAACAACATTGGGACCCATATTTACTAAAAAGTTGTTGATTTATTTACAATTTTGCCATTTGATAAACAAATTTTGTTTATCATATTGATAAACTCCCTAAAATTAAGAATTCCTTAGGAAAATTTATGAAATCTATATTTCTATAATAATCAATACTTCGTATTTATTGTTCACTTTTGAGAGACGGTACAATATTATAACAATGTAGAAAAGAGGAAGACTAATAGTCATAGGATTGTTATATTGATACATTGTTTCCTTTAGGATGTAAGGAGTACTATAACTTTTTTTTTTTGGCAGCTAAGTAACTTGGTAGAAGACTTTGACTGTGAAGAAGACTTTGACTGTAAAGAAGACTTTAAATTTTCCACATCACACGGTGACATAATCTTCTTCGAAGCTACACTCCCAATGTTTTGATCCATTGTGCACAATCCTCAACAGGATCTTAAACACTTCATAAAAACAAACCATAAATTGGTTTTGAGGGTACAAGTACAATTGAATTAGCTAATGTTACTACCACAGAATTGCCTGGATTTTCATGGCTCAAAATGTAATTGCAGAAACACACTAGAAATTAATTATTGATTCCATCATTAGTTTATCCAATCCCTAAAATTAAGAATTCTTTAGGAAAATTCTTGAAATCTATATTTATATGATAATTTATACTTAATTGTTCACTGGAGAGACGATACAATTTACTACGGAAGTGCGAAGTACAAAATTATTGCTGGTCATTATAACAATGTTTTAAAGTTTTTTTTTAAAAAAAGTATACTTGCTACAATTCTACAAACCATATCAAATTCTCAATGTAATGAGTGGTCTCAGTTTTTAGTACCATCTCCGATCCACAAAATCATTATCCTATATTCCTATCCCCTCCATCCACAAATTAACAAATAAAACTCAGCAATAATATTACTTTTGGCCTATTGAAAGATGAAAGCTAGTGTTCTTGGCCCATGTTATCTTGACCTGGTTGACTTCAAAGAAAACCCTTAATAATAATGAAAATTCTACATTAGTCATTTTTAAAATGACTACCACTATACTTATGGTTGGCCACATCATATATTCGCTTGTAAAAAAACAAAATAGTCCCTATAACACTGACTGAGTAACCCTAAAATACTAAGCGAGTAACGTCTACAATATTGACGAAGTAATGAACCCTTGTAACACTAACAGAATAACTCGTATAAGAGAATGTGGCGAGTCATATAAAAGAATTTGTGCATTAAAAATGATATTTCTTTTTTAAAAATTCACTACTTGCAAAAGTTTGGAGAAATAACCGTGACTCTTCTTTTTCAATACTCGCACCACATTAGTTGCGTCACAATCCGATCAATTTCTTGTTGGCTTACGTGACATGGAAATTATACCAAACAATGTGTTTGTAAGTTTGACTGAGCAAGAGTTGGTTTTGTCTATAAAAGTGTGATGACAAGAGTTTTCATTTTGCATTTATCACTCTAAAACACTTCACTTGCTCCATAATACAGCTTTGCCATACAAATCACCAAAAACAAAATATGATCAAAATGAATTGTTATCTTATTACAATTCTGTTGTTTATGAAGGCTATAATATTGTGTAGTTGTAGTGGGTACTTCAACAACAGCCAGTTGGGGTGTATACCTTCTGAAAGGAAGGCACTGCTATAATATAGGTGGAAATTCATTCATTAGTGGAAGTATAGGTGCTTGGTTAGGAGAAGAGTTTCGAAGCCTAAAGTCTCTCTCACTTTATGATAACAACATATCAGGTCCTATCTCAAATTCTCTGGGCATGTTGTCAGCCTTGGAGAAATTAACAATATTCAACAATCCTTTGGAAGAAGTAGTTTTGTCTGAAACTCACTTTGCTAATCTTTCAAGCTTGACATTTGTGGATATGGGAGAAACCTTCTTAACGATATGGGTGCCTCCCTTCCACCTTGATGAATTGCGTGCTAGCACCTGCAAACTCAATGGTCAATTCCCTAAATGGCTTAAAACACAGAAGAACCTCACATGGTTGGAGTTATCTAACTCTAAAATTCAAGGGGTGTTGCCAAAATGGTTTCATAACTTTTTAAGTTTTTTGGATGCTGGTGAGAATAATCTATCAGGCGAGGTGCCAACACAAATTGTTCCAGAGTTGCAAATACTTCGGTTGAGAAATAATAAACTCAAAGGCAGTATCCCTCATCAGCTGTGTTCATTGTCTAAACTCAAAATCTTAGACCTTGGTCATAATTATTTAACTGGAACCATCCCTAATTGTCTCAGCAACCTTACGACGATGAAGACTGTTTTAGAAGATTATAATTATCCTCCAGTTGCAAATAAGATTGACTTAAACAACATCAAGGAGATCCTCCATGGAATTGAGCTTGAATACACATCCAACTTAGGGTTGTTAGTGAACATCGACCTTTCATGTAATAAACTGGTCGGCAGCATTCCAGATGGGATCACAAATCTCTCCTACTTGCTCAGCTTGAACATATCCTACAATCAGTTGTCAGGACAAATCCCAAGGAACATAGGTGGCTTGAAGTCGGTGATCTCTCTTGATTTATCAAGAAACAAACTCTCGGGATCGATCCCAACAAGCTTGGGTGCAATAACTTCCTTGGAGTCCCTTGACTTATCCTACAATAATCTCTCCGGCGAAATCCCAACTGGAAGCCAATTGCAAACCTTCAACGACCCCTCAATTTACGCCGGCAATCCTTATCTTTGTGGAGACCCACTTCCCAAGAAATGTGGTTCAGGAGGAAGACAGCCAAGACAACCAAGACGAAGACAGCGAGGACAAGCGTGAGACAATGTGGTTCTACCTGGTGGTGATGTCGGGGGTTGCAACTGGATTTTGGGGAGTTGTAGGTAGTTTGTTTCTGAAAAAGAGTTGGAGGCATGCTTTCTTTAGGCGTGTTGAAGATATGCATGACTGGTTGTATGTGGCTATTGCTGTTAGGATGGCTAAGTTGAGGAATAATAATTAAGATAGTTATTGTATTACATCCACCATATATAAGTGGCTATAGCATAGTAGTAGTAAGTCCAAGTTCGTACGACAAATGCATCAGATGTGTTGTTGTATTAACTTGTAAATAAGATGGTTGTATGTAAGATCTTTTTAACCAACTTGGTTTTCCTTTGCTGCTATTGTACACCAAGTATGGTACCTTTGTATTTTCTATTTTCTCTATTGATATAATTTACGGGGATGCAGCACTCCGACATAAATTTGCTGCCAACTCTTTTCTCTACAAATATAAGTTACAATTCCTCTGTTAGTAACTTAGTATGACACTAACCTACTATTATTTTTCCAGCAGCTATCGAATGTCATTGTGCATGATTCAGTGGATTCACAAAGTTGGACCATATTTATTTTTTCAGAAATTTCAGATGAAATAGTTGGGAAAAAAAAAAGGATAGAATTTTTCTTTTGCTTTTGACCTAGATGGAGTTATATACTAATGTAATTTCAACATTGTTTTCCCCTCTTCTGCAAAGAAAATCTGTTTTTCAATCTCCAAATATGCAGGGATCACTTTCAGACAATGGAATTATATCTGATGACTGCTTATTTAAACTGACAAAGTTTTGCAACTGCACTGCAGCAAATTCTCATGTTTGAAGTTATATGAACACGATACTTGAATGAGCTAACTATTGGAGCCAGGTTTTCATACTCCTGTCAGTCCGTGTTAAAAAAAATCAGCTGATCGATGAGATCAGAGCAATACAGAATTCTAAAATTCCAATCAAAATCTGTGAACAATACAGCAACAAGTAGAACTATCTATTGTAAATTTTATTGCCCTGAAACGTGATTCAGAATGTCAACCTCCAACATTTGTCTTAAAGACCATAAGTAACAAAATTTAGCACCCATTCTTGAGGTGAAAACAGTAGTACAATTTCTCACATACAGAATTAGTTTAGCATGTGAAAGCAAGAATGTTTCAGTTTATCTGGAGACACTATTGTTACTAGTTGCAATCGACGAAGAATCTTGTTTTTTGATAGAACACGCAGACTTGAAAGCTTCAATTTGTGCTTGGCACTTTACATAATCACCTTTGTTTTCCTCTAAGCATTTCTTGAGAGCCTCGACATCACACGGTGACATAATCTTCTTCGAAGCTACATTCCCAGTGTTTTGATCCATTGTGCACAATCCCTACAACATGAAAAACTCACATCATCATTAAAAACTCCTCAACAACAGTATTTTAAACACTTCATAAAAATCAGCCATAAAATCCAAAACTCTTAATTTAATTTTTTAGGTACAATTACAATTGAATTTTTTAAGGTACAGTTACAATTGAATAAGCTAACGCTATTACTTTCTTACCAGGATGAAAGATATACCCTATTAACTACACAGTCGACTGTTAAATCAGTTTTACAATAGAAATTGCCCGGATTTTCATGGCTCAAAATGTAATTACATAAATTGATTAAGCACTACATTAGAAATTAATTGATTTTATTCAATAGTTTATTCAGTTCCCAAAATTAAGAATTCTTTAGGAAACATCTTAAAATCTATATTACAATTGATTGTTCACTTGAGATTGAATGAGATGAGAATATATAATACGAAAATCGATGGTGTTGAAAATAAATATGAATTTGAATTAAAACAGTTGTGAAATTGAAATTAACATACCAATTCAAGTTTGAGAGCAACAAAGACTTCGCCTCCACCGCCGGTGAATGAGCTGCCGGTGGCAGTTCTAAGTTTTTGAAGATCGGGAAATTAGAGGAAAAAAAAAAAAAAAAAAAAAACACGGTCTTCAAATTTCAGTGAAGTTTACAGGAAAATTAAAGTGGGGTTGAGTATTAGCCTGGGCTTTATGCTTTTATTTAATGGGCCTGTGTAGAATTAATGAATACTCTGTAATATTATGGTGCATTTAGGACTTGTTTATCTAAACTCATCTAATCTGTTTTTTTTTTTTGATCTAAATGTTAAATTTGACCAAAAATATATGATAATTTATACGGAAAAAATTATATCAAATGGGGTCTTGTTAGATTTTTTATAATGTGTATTTTATTATTTTGTGATATTCATAAATTTTTTTCATTACAAAATTAAAAATATTTAGCAATAAAAAACTACACCTAAAACGATGATTTGATCTGAATATATTTTCTCTAAGATAAGTAAAAATATTAGTGCCAAAATTAGAGGTTTTTTTTTTTTTTTTTTTTTTTTTTTTTTTTTTTGGTTTTCACTAATTGATTAGGCTAATGATTTGATAAGTTTTCAATTTTTTATTATTTTTTTTATTTATTTTTTATATTATACTTTTATCATTCTAGGTTTCAAAACAGGTATACATTATATATATCATACATGTCATTGTTTGATGAGTATAGAAAAACCACTTCAACAAAAAAAAAAAAAAAAAATAGGGAAGAGATAGAAGTAGCGTCTCTTAAGATGGAGCAGATGAATCTAACAACCAACCCTATTATACCTTTTGATCTCTTGTCGATTGAAATCCTCACTAGGCTACCTCCAAAATCGCTAATTCGATTCAAAACTGTTTCGAAACAATGGCTATCAACAATCTCAAGCCGCAAATTCATCAATTTACATGCCCAACGAACAACAAACACCAATGACCACAATCACGGGGTTCTCATCGAAACAAGGCGGTCACCAATCTTTAACAAAGGAATTGTAGTTTTACGCCACGATAATTTGTTAGGTGTCACCTTTCAACATTATAAATTTCCTCCCTCAATAGCTGACGAGGGTTTCAGCATATTGGGCTCGTGTAACGGGTTGGTTTGCTTATATGTTTGTTGTAAAGGGGTCATAATTTGGAATCCTGTCACGCAGGAGCATCGATTCGTTTCGAAACCATCAATAATGATGGAACCTTATGTATATGATGTGAATCCGGGTTTATGGGGATTAGCCTACCTTCCGTCAATAGATGATCACAAACTAGTCAATCTAAATCTGTGTTCGTCACATGATCGAATTAGATTTCAGGTAAGCGTATATACATTAAGGACTAATAAATGGGTTCAATACATGTCAGATTCATTATCTGCTGATATCGTTAAAAATCTACGGTTGAACACGCATTACATTCTTGGGATTGTGTTGTTGAATAATGTATCACATTGGTTGATATATAAATGGAATGAGATTACCTTTGGAGTGCCGTTCATATTAGCGTTCGATATGGTGACGGAGACCTTCGATGAGGTACAACTTCCCCAAGACATTATATTATGTGAGTATGTTTCTTATAATTTGAGTAGTGTTAAGGACAATCTGTGTTTTGAAGCCGAATATAGGTCCGGCGACGGAAGTGGCCGGGTGTGTTATCGAGTAGTTTGGGAGCTAAAACGATATGGAGAATGGGGATCATGGAAGAAGATTGTTGAGCTTTGTCCTAAACAAGATGGTTTTGAAATTAGAGATATACAGGAGTTGGATGGTTTTGCTTCTAATATTTATAAGGAGAGTTATCAATATTTGATGTGTATGTTGCAGTCTTTTGGTTGGTTTATCTACCGAAGCAATGATGGGAGACACAAATGTATTCAACTAGATAAACTTCATTGTGCCCGCCTCGTGTGCTCACTTGTTGAAACTCTTGTTTCACCTCTCATGGGATCGGAGAATAGGCTAGAACTATAGATTATAATTCTTATAATTATATATATGTAACTTTTAATTCCTTTTATCAATTTTATAATTTGACTCTTTGTTCATCAACGAACTAAATATATTTTTTGTTCTAATCGGCAATTCTTCCCTTGAGACAAATCCCCAACTAGTCCCTATGCTCCCTAGTCCCTAATCCAGTAATCATGCAATGTTTGGTACCTTATTGTTTATTTCAGTTCATAAGAGGATATTTAATAGTTGGGCAATACTCATTATTATTATTATTATTATTATTATTATTATTATTATTTTTTTTTTTTGAAACCTACTCATTATTAATTCACTTTAGCTTATATAGTACGGAGTACCTGTATTAAAAAAAAATACACCATACGTTGCCGTTTTACAGACATGTTGGGTTCGGGTAAATCACGGGTCGATTTCAGTTGTGCTTTAAAACTATCGGGTTATATTCCAATTATCCAGACTGGATATAAGCCCATTCGATGCATGGTTCTAGTAAATATTTTTATTAATTTAAGATTTTTTTTTATAAAGATCATTCATTAGGTATTTGGATAAAATTCCTAATATCATAAGATAATTTTAAAAAAAAAAAAATTAACACTAAAGTTATCTTTTGTAGGTTTATTTATTTTACGTGGCGCTTGAATTTATAATTCCAAATCTTATTCTTTAATTTTGCTTAGGTGACAATTTAATTTTTTTAATAAAAAATAAATGACAAATCATTTTATTTATTGGTTAAAATAAGTTCTTTGCAAATGCGTTTTTTTATATAATCGTACTCTTTTAAAATGTTAGTCTCATCTAAAATATTTTAACTATTAAAAAAATTAGGGGAATCTTCTAATTAAATTTCTCTCTATAAAAAATTAGGGGAATCTTCTAATTAAATTTCTCTCTATATATAAGAAAAACATAGTGATATGAGATTTAGTTTTATTCGTTTCGATGAGTACATTATTAATATCTAATTTTTATAATATTTGATAGGGAGAGATTAAAGATATTTACGATCAAAGATTTACATTCATATATGTAAAAAAGATAATTATTAGTTTTTTAAATAATTTAAATTTTAATTGTTCATTATTCGTTATTTTTACGTAGATGGCAAAATTCTTAAACCTTATTCGTCACTTTTTCTTAGGTTAGGTGGCGAGTGAATTTTTTAATTCTAAAATAAATTATTAATCTAAAATTTCATTGGTCAAAATAATACCTTTTCTTATGTGGCGCATCGAATGCTCCCGAAAAATGCCTACTTTATTTATATATATTATATATATTAGATTAGATTTGGTTTAGACTGCGTTCAGGTTTTTCTCAATAGCTTTTGGTAGGGTTCGGTTGGATCATTGGGTCAAGTCAGGGATTGCCAGCCAATTATTGTATACTCTCTTTACACCAAGATAATTGACATATATAGCCTATTTTCATTGTTTCTACACCAATAATATTTCAAGTATTAAATTTGACCACAGTTGTTTCTATTAACTTTGACCATAGTTCTTTTTATAAGATAATAAAGTACAAATATTATCATATACTCCGTACATTATTAAATATTTACCTGTTAAGTTAATTCTAAAAGGAATTGGACTATAAGGTTAAATTTTGATATACAGAGTAATCAAACACAGCTTTTAGGCCCTTAAGCCCGTTAGTTTTGGGGAGTTTTCCAAATTCCAATAGTCTCCATAAATCCCAATTCCGAAACTTTATCTCTCTGCTTCAGCAATCACTCTTCAATTCTAAGGTACGGAGTATTTTTCTTCTAATTTTAATTTCCTGGGTTTCAAATCTTGTTTTTGTTATTTGTTTCTGCTCTAATTAGAAATTCCTGTTTATTAATTCTTTTGAACGTATGTTCTATTCTAAAGTTTTGATCTTTCTTATGCATTTTTTTCGAATTAATTCAATCAGCTTGGGATTTACGCTTTAATTAGGTTAAATTCCCAATAATCCCTTTACCCAGATTCTTACGCTGGATTCTGAATTGCTTTACAAAGATTTTTATTTGCCTATTTGTTCTGAAATTGATATATGTACGCTTTTGTGGGATTATAATTGAGAAAATTTGCTGTTATTCTGTAGAATTGATGCAATTTACCCTCATACCATAGTTAAACGTTGATTGTAGTTAATTTAGTGAGTGATTTTGCGGAATTTGGGAGGGTTTGGATTGAAGAATTTGTGTTTGATACCCAAAACTATTTCGCATTATAAAAGTTTGTTTTATCTTTCTTATTGTAATAACTTATTCACCTTTCAATTATGATATTGGTGTACCCAGTTCGAGTAGAGGGGAAAAGCAGATTATAAATTTATGATATCGGTGTACCGAGCCAAGTAGAGGGGGAAAGCAGATGGAGGCTAGTTAATTCATGAGAAGTATTTGTGGGGTTTAGGAGTTTGTTTTGTGTTTGAAAGGTTAGGGTTTGCAAATCCGACATGAGTTGGGAGATGTTATTTTATGATATTTGCTTTACTTATCATCCTCTTTTGAACATTGTCTGGGGAATAGTAACAGGACAATGCATCCCTTTAGCTTGTTTCTTTCCTTTTAATGATTACATGTTATTGGTGAATGCATCCTCTTAGTAATGTGAAGATGGAATCAGCATTGTGTTTAGTTTTCCAGCTAATTTGTTCTGTCTGTTTTTAATGACTGTGACTGTGAGGATCTTTTTATTTATTTTTTTATTTTAATGTCGTGAATTGAATTGTTGCTAGTGATATCTGATTTTCTGTAATTTGCATCATCTGGTGTTCCTTTGTTACTTGATTTTGAAGAATTTCTGCTCATAGTTGTTTATTTGACTGCTAAAGATATGAGTTTCTATACCTTGCTTTGCAGATTGATTAAACTAGAAGTTGTTGAAATATTTACAAGGAAGAAATATGAGTTCGCGGTTTTGGGATCAGGTATGCCATTATTTAACCAATCTTACTCGATCTTTATTCAATTTGCTCTCCATCCAGTGAAAAATTGTTTCTTTTTCCCTTTCTGTAGGGTAACAGTGATACTGAGGATGAGGAGGAGAGTAATTATGATGAGGAAGAGGAGGTTGATGCAGATGAAACTGGTGGAAGTAAGTATTATGTTGATAATAATAATGACAGTGAGGATTCAGATGACCATAAGCGAGTAGTTGTTTCTACTAAGGATAAGCGCTTCCAGGAGATGTCTGCTACTGTTGAGCAGATGAAGAATGCCATTAAGATCAATGACTGGGTGAGCCTACAAGAGAGCTTTGATAAGATTAATAAACAACTCGAAAAAGTTATGCGTGTTGTGGAGACGGGTATTGTTCCCAACGTCTATATAAAGGCCCTTGTACTGTTGGAGGATTTTCTGAATGAAACTTTGTCAAATAAGGAGGCTAAGAAAAAGATGAGCACCAGCAATGCAAAAGCATTAAATAAAATGAAGCAGAATCTGAAGAAGAACAACAAGCAATATGAAGATCTGATTAACAAATTCAGGGAAAATCCTGAGTCTGAAGATGAAAGGGATGAAGAGGATGAGGCGGACGATGTATCAGAATTTTCTGACGAACCTGAGTCAGAAACTGAAGAGACTGATAAGGAGGATGACACCAGGGAGGATGATGTTGAGGATGAGGATGGCGATTGGCAGAAGCCAGGGAAGAACAATAAGCTTATAGATTCCAAGTTACTGAAAAATCCAAATGAGATCACGTGGGATACAGTGAACAAGAAAGTCAAAGAAATTGTTGCTGGACGTGGTAGGAAGGGAACTGTGAAAATTGAGCTAGTTGAGCGGCTCACCTTCTTGACTAGGGTTGCAAAGACACCAGCTCAGAAGCTGGAGATCCTTTTCAGTGTTGTTTCTGCCCAATTTGATATTAATCCTAGTCTCAGTGGTCATTTGCCAATAAATGTGTGGAAGAAATGCGTGCAGAATATGTTTGTTATACTTGATATTCTCACTCAGTATCCTAACATATTGGTGGATGATTCAGTAGAACCTGAAGAAAACGAAACCCAGAAGGGTCCAGACCATAAGGGTACCATCCGAGTATGGGGAAACTTGGTAGCCTTCCTTGAGAGAATAGATATTGAGTTCTTCAAGAGCTTGCAAGTTATAGATCCTTATACACGTGAATTTGTTGAAAGACTCAGAGATGAGCCTTTATTTTTGGTCCTGGCACAAAACGTCCAAGAGTACTTGGAGAAAAGTGGTAATCTGAAGGCAGCTGCGAAAGTAGCCCTGAGACGTGCTGAGTTTGTGTACTATAAGCCTCAAGAAGTTTATGAGGCAATGAGGAAATTGGCTGAACAATCAGAAGAAGAAAATGATGAAGCAGTAGGTGAGGAATCCAAGGGGGCTGATCTAGGTAGGGGCCCCCCTTTGTTTGTAGTTACTCCTGAGCTTGTGCCACGGAAATCTACATTTCCAGAGCGCAGTAGGGCCTTGATGGATAGCTTAGTTTCTCTCATTTATCAATTTGGAGATGAGCGAACAAAGGCCCGTGCAATGCTTTGCAATATATACCACCATGCTCTTATGGATGAATTTTCAGTTGCTCGTGATTTGTTGCTTATGAGTCATTTGCAAGACACAATTCAACACATGGATATTTCAACCCAGATATTGTTCAATAGAGCTATGGCTCAGCTCGGTCTATGTGCTTTTAGGAGTGGTCTGATTGCAGAAGGACATGGTTGCCTTTCTGAAATATATTCCACTGGTAGAGTGAGAGAATTGCTTGCACAAGGTTTCTCTCAAAGCCGTTACCATGAGAAAACCCCTGAACAGGTATGACTGCTCATATTTGAGACTGTTATCTGTAATGCTATTGTATACAGTGGTTGTTCTGGTCTTCTGGTTGGAATTTTAAGCAAATTTTGCAGGGTATAGTTGTCACTAGTCAGATCATGATAGTTGCAGATTTGCAGTGGCTTCTTTTCTGATGAATTTTAGGAAGAATTTAATAGGACTACGTCATTAGAATATTCTCTGCGTTTACTGATCAATTTAATTCCTAGATTTCCCTCTTATGTGATTTGGTATATTCATTCTTGTTGCGTTGAAAGTAGGTATTGATTTTTAGTAGCCAATTTTAGTGTCCTGTTACTGTAATAATCAAGGCCCTTCTATGATGATTTTATTCATGAAATTTTTAGAATGCACTTTGAGTTTATGTCATCTGTAAAGAAAACATTGTTTGCAAAAGAGTCAAATTTAAGAGTTGTGGATATCTTACTTCCAATGTAGTGTGCAGAACTGTCAATTTGATAGAAAAAATGGATGTAAATCTACACCAGGCTGTGGCCAAGTGCTGTAGTGGGGATCTGCATATGAGGGGGAATTAGCTATGCTTTAAGCAACAAAGAGACATCCCATAAATTTAGTGTTTTAAATTAACTTTATACTAAAAACTTTTTTTATGTTTTCAAGAATGCAATATCACGTTAATGCTTGCCTTCTTTTATTGTTTTTTAAAGCTCACTCGTGATTTTTCAATATTACCAGGAGATGAGAGAAAAAAGACAGCAGATGCCATACCACATGCACATCAATTTGGAACTCTTGGAGGCAGTTCATTTGACTTGTGCCATGCTGTTGGAGGTCCCTTACATGGCTGCCAACACCTTTGAGTCACAGCGCAGGATTATAAGCAAGACTTTCCGGAGATTGCTCGATGCTAGTGAGAGACAAACATTGCGGGGCCCACCTGAAAATGTCCGGGATCATGCTATGGCTGCTACTAGAGGCCTCACTCAAGGAGACTTTCAAAAGGCCTTTGATGTCATCACATCTCTGGATGTGTGGAAGCTCCTGAAAAACAAAGAGAGTGTCTTTGAGATGCTGAAATCCAAGATCAAAGAAGCAGCCCTAAAGACTTACCTATTTACTCATGCTGTTTCTTACAGTTCTCTGAGCCTTGACCAGCTGTCTAAGATGTTTGAACTGTCAGAGCCTCAGATACACAGCGTTGTGAGCAAGATGATGGTTAATGAGGAGTTGCGTGCTTCATGGGACCAGCCTACGCGGTGCATCATCTTCCATGAGGTTGAGCACACTAGATTGCAGGCTCTTGCTTTCCAACTGACTGAGAAGCTAAATTACTTCGCAGAAAATAATGAGCGAGCTATGGAGGCCAAGCTGGGTGGTGGTACTTTGGATGGTTTGCCTCCCAGGAGAAGAGATGGACCAGATTATTCTGCAGTTGCCTCTTCTGGTGGTGGTAGGTGGCATGACAACTCGTACCAGCAAGGAAGACCTGGTGGGCGTTCAGGATATGGAGGAAAGACGATGAATCCAGGACAGTTTTCTGCAGGTGGATATTCAAAAGATCATGGTGGTCATGCAAGAGGGGCAGGCTCTTATGGGCGTGCATCCATGCGAGGACAACACACTGATTCTTCAGCCCGTATGGTCAGCCTTAATCGCGGAGTTCGTTAATTTGTTTTGATCATCTGAAAAATTTTGCCCCAAGGTTCTAAAACTAAATAGTCTAAATTGTTTCCGTCTTATCATTATTCTTTTATTTCTTGGTAGAAGTTCTGGTTTCAATTAAACTAACTGAACTGATTAGTTGTAAGCTTCTAACTTTCGTAAGCTTTTTTTTTTACCAGTTTTTGTGTTTTGAAGCGCAGGAAGCTCCTATTTTATTCTACCTTTAGTTTCTGAAAATTGTCATTGTTCTGTGCTAAATTTAACTGAAATTTTCAGAGCTTGTGGTTTTCGTTTGAGCTATCTACGTTTTTGTGACCGCAAATGAGGTGTATATTTCCATCTCCTTCTCAGGGTACAGCTTGAAAGTGGCATTGCATGTAACCTTAGATGTTTCTGATAAAAGGGGCTGTGGGGAGGACATTGACGGAGATGTCATTACGTGTTTTTCACACGTTGAGCGTGATCATCGTGCACCCCCCCCCTCCCCGGCAGTTGATGATAATTACTTCGTATACTTTGCCTTTCAGAGTAATGTAGTACGAGTAAATCTAAATGAGCAAAGAAAATAGCTTAACATGCACCATAGATGTTGCACTTCTCAAACCCTACAATGGCATGATTTACTAATGAACCAGTAATTGATTTCGTGTACATCTAAAAGAGCGGGAATTTTTTTAATGTGAGAGCGTCGTATCTCATATGTCATTCAAGAATCTAAATGCTCAAATTATGTTTTAGTCTAGTAATCATTCAACTCATACTTGAATGGAAGAAATGATATGATTACTCTGGTCCAAACGTTACTGCATTTGACTTGTAATTTAATTGAGTCAACCCACTAATCATACTCAGCTCATACGTCAACCCATACCTTATGCTACAAACTTATATTAGGAATTAGACGCACGGTAGCATTTCCCTCGTATCTTTCCATATATATTAGGACATTTATGTTGTTACTCATCTACATATATATATATATAGAGATATAGCTCATTCTAATTCATTCCTCCATCTACTAGGGGCGGATCTTGATTTGATTTAATAAAATTATACGTCCTAATAAAATTCCTCCATCTACTAGAAATTTGTTTTTGTACGTACGAAAATGATGATGTTAAGGCTAAGTGTGGCTGTGTTGCTTCTGCTGCCATTCGCGCTGTGGTGTGCTTACGCACAATCACCTTTGGTTGGCATAACATTGGTGAAAAATACTACTGCCAAAGAACTTGGAGCATGTAAGTCTTAACCTACAAATGACTTAAATTTACGTAGCTACTATAAGTCTAAAAATGGTGAAATTTGTTATTTTTTTTATTGATTTTTGTTATTTATATTAAACCTTATTTTTTATTAAAATGGGGAAATTTAATTATGTGGGTGAAGATTGCTTGGATGGGAGTTTACCTGCATATCAGTTCAGCAAAGGATTTGGTTCTGGAGCAAGCAACTGGCTTTTGCACATTGAGGTAATTCACTAATTCATAATAATAATGCTACTATATATAAGTCTAAAAATAGTGAATTTTGTTAATTTTTTATTAATTACGCGTTAAAGATTTTAGTACATTAGGAGTAATTAGAACCAATTTTAATTACTTGTCTTTACATAAGTTGATAATTATTATCTTTGAATTTACAGCAATTTTTTATATACAAGTATACAACTGATTGTACTTTGTTCATGATGGTAAAGCAAAGGTTTTTTTTTCATGTTCCTAACATAGACAAAAAAAATAGCCTTGATTCGGTAAAATCATTTTTTTTTTCATAAAATCATGATTTGCTGTAAATGGATTGAGAGTAATTGTGATTTGCTACTGGATAGAAAATTATAATAATTTGCTTCTATATTGAGGTTGATATTAAATAATTGAATTAGGATCGTACTAAAAAGGTACTTATAAATTATCATGATTTGTAATAAACCATGATTTCTTTTTTTTTTTTTTTTTTTTAATTTTTTTTTATGATTTGCTTGTATTAGCTGTAGTACGTGCTGTATTTAAGAATAATTTTAAATATACTAAAATGGTACAAAATCATAATTTGCTGTAATAATTTGTTCTTATCTTAATTATTGGGAATAATTAAAAATCATAGTGAAAACAAAAGGCAAGAGTGTTTAAGACTTTTATACTACCTCCGTCAACTTACAGTTGCAACTTTGGTGTATTATTTGTGAGATATATAATATTCCAAAACTTGCAACTAAAAGTTAACAGAGGTAGTAGTTTAACTTGGAGACGGAGATTGGGATTACTAAGAGTTGTACTTACGAAACAAAGACTTTGATGAATGGAAGCTAGCTAGCTTTGACAATGGATTTCGATCACTCGATACATATGATGGTGTAAAAAATGATATTATGTTTTGGTAGGGTGGTGGATGGTGCAATGATGTAAAATCATGCTTGGAGAGGGCTACTACTCGAATTGGTTCTTCAAGCTACATGACTGAGAATGTCTTTTCTGGGATCCTAAGCAACAATCAATCCCTCAACCCAGGTTCTTATTTCATACTTGACTTATTGCTTGCTTGGTTTGTTATAAATTTTTGGTTAATATTTGTTCCACGAAACTTTATACTATAATTATGTACTCATTATTGATGGCAAGTTGCTATATATGCTTCATGTAATGTCGATAACAGACTTCTACAATTGGAATCGCGTTATGCTAAGATACTGTGATGGAGCTTCCTTTGCTGGCAATTCCATGTACCAAAATGGGGTAAATATATTTGAGCCTGATCTCTTTTCAGATCAATTTTCTGTGTAGGCCAGGCTGATCTCACAATATCAGTAAATGATTTTCTGTTCTTTCTAATTTGTGTATGCTAACATTCGACAGAACTCATCGCTTTACTTTAGAGGGCAAAAAATTTGGCAGGCAATTATTTCTGATCTTCTTCCACAAGGGTTGGCACATGCAGAGAAGGTATATTATTGAGATAAATTTCTAATCTTAACCTTACAAAAGGCCTAGGCATATGACATTTACGCGTACTCTGATCTGCACTCTGCAGGCTTTGCTTTCTGGCTGCTCGGCAGGGGGTTTAGCAGTGTTTCTGCACTGTGACAACTTCTCCAGGTTTCTACCAGGAAGTGCTACTGTCAAATGTATCAGTGATGCCGGTTTTTTTCTTAGACGTGTGAGTGTCATCTTATTAACTCTTATGTCCTTCAAATTTTCGCCTTCTGTTACCCTACCCTATGTTTTCTGATTTCAGACCTTTGTCATGCTTGCAGAAAAGATGTAGCCAAGAGTGAAATGATTAGAACTTTGTACCATGATGTCGTTTCTCTTCAAGGAGTAGAACAAAATCTCAACCAAAACTGCACCAGTTCTCAAATCGATCCTAAGCAAGTATGATTATGCAAATTGCTTGAAATATTCACATAATAATTTGCTTGCTTTTGATCACATTATAATAAGGTTCTGATCTGAATTTTATCAGTGCTTTTTCCCACAATATTTCCTGAGTTACATCAAGACTCCGATTTTCATCTTAAACACTGCATATGATACATGGCAGGTAGTGTTACATCTCTTAGTTTCTGTGTATTTCTTAAATCTGTTGAACTTATCTACTGTATTAGAATTTTCTTATTGGTTTTTGATTATATACTTTGGCAGTTTTATAACGTCTTGGTACCATCTTCGGCTGATCCGGGAGGAGTATGGAATTCTTGCAAGAAAAATTTAACAACTTGCACTGACAGTCAAATTCAGACACTACAAGGTTAAACTAGTCGCTTATTACCAATTTTCAAACCTGTTTTTAGATAGTACTACAAGGTTTAATATATACAAAGGTTATGATGCACCTGTTATTCAGATTTTCGACTAGACATGCTCAATGCTACAAACTCTTTCTATAAATCTTCAACAAGTGGAGGAATGTTCATAAATTCATGTTTTGCACATTGCCAAACTCAGCATCAGGAAACTTGGTTCGCCGCTAACTCCCCTAGAATGCAAAATAAGGTACTTTATTATTCTTTCCTTCATGGTTTTTTCTTATGTATGAGTCCTAGTAGTAAGTCATTTTTCACTCTTACTACAGCATCGATCATGCTATACGTATCCTAGTATCTACACCCTTTTTGTTACGGCGTAGATATATACTAACGTTGCTGCTTAGTATATTAGTTTGCATATATAATTTGTGTTATCACTTGGGATTTCTGAAGTATACATACTAACTAGTAATTGTACTCTGTATATCCTGCAGACCATTGCAGAGGCTGTTGGCGATTGGTATTTTGAACGAAACGAGACAAAGCTGATCGATTGTCCATATCCTTGTGGCTCTACTTGTCAATATTAGAGACTAAGATAAAATTAAGGGAATTATCATAGGAATAGGAGAATTTTTTGGAGGTGAAGATTATAAAGCACAGATTTTGCTGATGCAAAAAGATGAAGTGATATTCAGTGAACAAATTCCTATAAGAAAAATAAACTTTTACCCGGATTATATATATGTTATTCAAGCACAATTCTTCTAATCAAATAATGTACTTCAATTTTATTGTGCCTTTTACCAGATCTACTGCATCTGTTTTGTTACTAAAGACATCTGAACTGATAAAAATTATTGTATTGTTTCAAAGTCATAAAGACCGTGGCTAAATATAACTCGGACTACTTCGTACAAGTATTAGATTTACAAGTTAAAGAACGTTTGATTTCCTATTTAAACATTAGACGTATAGGATTACCTTATGAATGGCTAAACTAGTCCGAATGTGGAAGAAATTCAATTTTGAGGAGACCTTTGTCTAATCCACACAACCTTTATCCGTCAAAGACATGGAAAATGCTTGTTTGATCTAGGAAAGAGCAATTTATACCTTCAGTAGAGGTACATGATAGTTCAACTTTGATCAAAGGGAAGAGCACTCTAAATAATCCAACTTCTTAGACGTCTTTGAGACCATATATACCATACAATATCTTAATTGTCTCCTAGCTTAACCAAAAAGAACAACACTTATCTCTACCTATCTAATAGTTTAACAAGTATCCCTCGCTTTTATATGTAAAGATTAAAATTAAAAAATAAAAAATCAAATCTTAGATGAGACCGTCTCACACTAATTTATAACGACACCTTAAAACATTGATCTCATGAAATAAACAATTCTTATGGGGAACAGACTAACACAAAAGATGATGCATACAAAGTTCAAAATCATTCATTAGCATAATTAGGTAACATAGACTAATAATTAACCAAAGCTATAAAAATAATGATGACACAAGGACAAAAGTAGACCAAAAGCTTTTGTTAGTGGGTAATGCTTGCTGTCCTCTGTTTTACCAGTTGAATTCATGTATTTCATCAGTTTACTGTTTTTTTTTTTTCCAAAAGTCAAAAAGATAAGCTAAAAAAAAACTATAATTAGCCAAATTTTAAAAGGATTTCCTGATAAGGACTAACGGTTGAAAATTGAGAGGTGGGATACGAAGGTTCACTTTTACTTTGATAAGTGCATTAAGATCTCACTAACCTACTCTATAAGCATGTGCAATTTTTGCTTTGTCCACTTCAAAATATTATTTTTTTATTATTTAATTTTTGCAATTAGTCAAATTACTTCTTTATTTTGTAGTGGAAAACAACTCACAATGCACCAAGTTTAAACATAAAAAGTTGTTTTGTCTGCATTTCCTAATTTGTTTTCTCTTTTTTTAATTTTCCCAAATTATCACCTTAGTTCTAAAATATAAATTGTACAAATAGATATATTATTTTGAAGTTTCATGGATAATTTTGCACAAAATTTAGTATTTTCTCTTTTCTTTCATTATTGCAACATGTTGTTATGCTAGGTAACTAGATAAGTATGGTGTACTAGAAGAGAGGTACCGAGGGGAAAAAAAATCATGTGCCGTGGTTGAAGTGTTGAAGGCCTTCTTTTCACTTTTGCTTGTATAATTAAAAATCATTATAGCTTAAAAATCAAAGAAAATATGAATAAAAGGTTCATTTACAACTTTCAAAATTAAAATAAAGTATGTTTAATCAAAATAAATTTTGTAATTTGAAAATGCATACATAACTCATACAAAGTGCTTATTATCAAGTGAATTATGCGCAAACTTAATATTCCATAACTTTAATTATTGAATATACTGAATATGATAAAAAGTGCATATTATAATAATTAAATAATTAATTCTACTTTTGTTGGCAACATGTGCACGGTGGGGAGTTACGATTTTTTTATTCAATTTATATAAACTTGTACAGTATACAAGTTTGTTATATACAACTATTTGTGAAAATTCAACTTATCAACTACAATTTGCAAGGTACTCAATCCCCTAAACAACTTGATCTGAGTCAACCTAGTGGTTGTCAGATCAAAAATTGACTTCTGCCATTTTATTAGTCCAAAAGATCATGCCAGAGAATATTTTCACAAGTTTCAGTAGTGACTACTGCCACTAACCCATTAAACCCAACAACACTATTCATCTTATATCAAGACAAAACAATCTTCTAGTTAAATCATCTTGATTAATATACAAATTACTTTGTATGAAACAATCTAGACTTAGCCAATTATGTCAACCATAAAGACAAGACGAGATTTATTAAGATTACTTACAAGTGTAATCTAGATATCCTATGTGTTTGTTCTTATAAAGCTAATTGATGATGTAAAGTGTTACATATAATTCATTAATCTTAAAACGGAAATGTCTGACAACCCAATCCAATTTACAGATCGATATATATAATAGACATGTAGTAATTAATCTAATTTGATATGATGTATGTTAGTAGCTTAGTATAAGTTACAATCAAGTTGCAACATATAATGATGAGAAACCTCCTTTCATCGAAATTTCATTTATCACTTGAATTATCTATCTTATGTACCAATGCACTAGAAACATAATATTCCCTTATGCTTTACAATATTCCAGTGTACAACTAATAATTTATGTTACTATACATCATGGCACCTTTTCTTTGAAAGATATGTTTCTTATTTCTCTTTACAATATAGTTCTAAAAAACAATACTATAAACGTTACATATTTGATTATTTTCTATAGCATGGTCGAAGAAGACAGCTAGCAATACTATATTGCAGCAACATATACATGCATGCATCAGCACCACACACCATAATTTGACTAGTTCCATCTTCTGCTTCACTTTGCTCCTTTTTGCCTTCTCTATCAGGAGTTTTTTTTTTTGCAACTTGACGACTTGTGTGATCTTTTCATGTACAATATATTAGTAGTAAATCACAATTAAATCGCGCATATGCACGTAAGTTTAACTCGTTCGATGTTGTTCTTCCTGTTTTATTCTTGTTTTTAGAAATTTATCGGTGTTAGAGGGCTTATCAAAAGGTAGTGAAATCAATATCAAATCTAATGTATTATACCACTTGGTTAACTTTTTTCAACAATAATAAGTCTAATGAAACTTTTTATCAGGTGTACACAACTATACAAGCAACATCTTTGAATTATATATACAAAAGAATTATTCGAACTTAGGTAATGTTTTGTGATATCTTTCCTTTTTACCTTTGACGAATGTGGTTATTAATTTGTACACTTTTTACAATAAGATAAGACTGTTTATGATACAACAAAAAATTTATTAATTATTTGAAGAGGGCAAGAAATTACATCTTACATATGCATGTATATTAATCTTAAAGCTATCTGATCGATAAGCTAAGGGCTTGCGTATCAGCTTTGAAGAAAGATGTGATATAAGAGAATAGAACTTAATTATCACCTTCTTTGTACACTTTTAAGGCACGTACAAGTACAACAAGATAAAAATTAAAATTGATTGTCTCAATTGAAAACATAGGCTGATATTTTATATTTATTGGCTCAAAAAAAGGCATAGAGACTAACATATCAACGTGACAACATCTACCTATGTACATATATATAACCGGGGAAAAATTGAAATCTCATATCTAATATATCAGGATCGAACCTCGGTCTTAACCTTTAGATTAAGGCCTCATTGGCTACTTATTCTAATTCATTAAATTAAAAAATTCAACTAACATGGATCATATATTATATAATGATCTCAATTAGTTGAATATTGTCTCATTAAGGAAATGAACAAATTTGTTATATTCTACTCCGTATAATTAAGTACTAATCATCTCTAATTCCCTATACATATATATATTCTACTCCTTGTAAGTACGTAGTTACGTACTAATCATCTAGAGTATGCTGGCCATCCGAATTCGCCTCCCCAAAGTTTCCTTGAGTTGATGAATTCGAAGTTATTAATGTTAATTCAGCAATTGTAATCACAACTTGAGGACAATCAACAGCATTAGAAACATGATTATTAACAGCTTCATCATGTTTTGTAACATTTTCGGGTTTTGATTTTTCTACAACATTTTTCTCCTTAATCTTGGCCTTTTTAAAATGTGCGAGTATTGCAAGATCATACGTAGACTCAGCAATTTTCTCCGTGCAATCAACAATGTCGATAAGTAGAGAGGCTAATGTCGCGATTGGTATGATTTGTAACAACTCGGCGTGTTGATTATATGATGAGCCGGATTTGAGGAACGTCTTGAGGCTTTTCACGGCTGCTTTTGAGCTAACAATGTGTGCATTAATTGAAGTAGAAGGATATGCCATTTTTCTTATGCATGATCCTAACTTTTTTAGGGTTTTGCTTGATTCCAAACTTATTTTGGTGCATGCTTCTCTTATTTCTTCTGGGAACTTTTGTGGTTTCTGTAACAAAATCACACAACAAAAGTTAAATATTGTTACAACTTACAACTAGTTGTATTTGTACGTACAAAAAAAAAAGATTTCATTAATTTAGTAAAATAAACGAGATATTTAGTTAAATTGAGTAAAAATAAGTTGATAAGAACAAACTCTCTTATCATTTAGTAAAACTATTTAAATGTAAGGTTTATAAAATTATTGATATTAAATAGATTGTATGTTTTTTTGACCATATACCTGTGTTTGAGGATCAAAATAAGCATTAAGAGCATCAATTCTGTAGGCGCATTGCCTAACAAGGCCTCCTAGTTTAAGGTATTGATTCCATGGATGATGGTATCTAAAGTGCCCGTGTCCTGGCTCCCACCTCGCAAAATTTGCCTAAAATTCGAAAAAAAAAAATAAAAAAAAATACATGTCATTTCGATGAATTCTAGCTAGGAATCATTCTCTAGGAGATCGAAACGATGAAAAGAAAGGCATAAAAACTTACCATGGTGTCTTCCACACTTTTGGAATTTAGAACACTTTTGTAGCCTTGAAAAGATGACTTATTTCCATCCTTAGATTTAACTTCACCTTCAGATGATTTCAAGTATATAGCTCCAAATCCTGCAAAAATAGTATTTAAATTAGTTACGTTACTTAATTATACAACATGATGTTACATACTTACGTTATGTATGCATGCACTTTAATTTTTTATAGTAAAGATGGCTAATTTAATTATATGTGTACCTTCTAAGAAAAGCCCTAATTTTTCCATATTAGAAGCAACTGAGTTATGTAATTCTTCACCGGCCCAAACAGGAAAAATGAGTGAGTTTATAAGTAGGCTAACGGATCCACCTATCGCGATAGTTGACAATCTTTTGTGTGCCAATTCTACGATTTCATCTGCTCTATACCCTGATATGGATACGAAGCTGAATGTCAATATGAATATCAAGAATCCATAATCATATCGCGCCTTGATTTTTGGGAAAAATCGCATGAATGTTGATGCTGCGGCTGTATTTTTGTCAACCAAATAATTTCATATAGTTAGCATCATGTATACATCTTAATAAGCTATATATTTTATGGCTGAACAAATTTTGTTTAATGTAATGTTTTTATTACTCGTATGTACCAAATATGTAGACAAATAATCCAATAAGGACAGGTTCACCAATCTTGCCACAAAGACTAGCCAAGTGATGCGCCCCAACTCCTAGAGCACCTGCTAGTAAAGTTGCTAGAGCCCTATTTAATCCTTTTCCTAATGTTGCGCCTGAAAAAAATTAACCGATAAGTTAATTTAATTAGTAAAAAAATGCATTTACCTAACATTTTATTTAAACGGGCCAAATTAGTATATACTTACCAACAGTAAATTCAAAGACAACAACTACGGTCATAACAGCCCACATGGCAGAAACGCCAAAGCTATTATAAAGAGGTTGAAAATAGTAAAACAAAGACACCAAAGTTATAGCTAGTCCAACTTTGAATGAATGAATAACCCTTCTTGGATCATCCCTAGCTAAGTTTCTCATCATTGTCGCGATGCCAACAACCTTCGCGACTAACCTCTTTGGCAAGTGATGGAGCCAACACCATACTCGCGATACAAGGCTAATTTTATCATTGTGACTAATAACATGATCACTAGTAGTAAACCCCATGATTTTTGTGGTAAAATGTTATGCTTTGCATTTGCATATGTTTTATGCTAATAGCAAATGAGTAGTGGGATGATTTATGAGAGTTAATAAATGTCAAAGTTACATATTTATAGGGGAAAAGAATGAAAGATTTGATGTAAAAAGATAAACAAATTAAATAGTAATGTCTTTTTCAATTGAAATTGTACAATGCAAGTACAGGGGAATTTTTGTTTATGGTTGTCACTTTCTGCGGTCTGCTTTAGTGGTATTTTCTGTATGGTTGGTTGTTAAGTAAAGCAGGATTTTTGTCTGTCACTTTCTATGTTTTTGTGTAGGCCACATACATTTGAAATCATCAATTAATATGTGTAGCAACATTAAAAAAAAAAAAATAAATAAAAAATAAATAAAAACTAAAACAAATATAAAGAAGATTTAAGATAGTGGCAAACTTGTGTTTTATAGTGGTGTTGAACTTTCCTATGCTTTCATTTTGGTAGTAAATTTTTTTTTGGTGTTACACTTTCCTATGCTTTCATTTTGGTAGTAATTTTTTTTTTTTAAAAAAAAACACTTTTTGAAAAAAAAATTTACTACCAAAATGAAAGCATAGGAAAGTTCAACACCACTATAAAACACAAGTTTGCCACTATCTAAAATCTTCTTTATATTTGTTTTAGTTTTTATTTTTTTTATTTAACTGGCACACAATTTAGTTACTAATCTGTAGTACTATATCTCCTCCATTCTTTTTAAATTGACACAATTTTTATCACGTATAGCAACGCATAAGTTTAACTATTAATAACTTTAATAACATACATGCAGATATTTAAAGAAGTTATACTATAAAAATATATTTTACCACATAAGGCAATTCAAACAAGGTGTCACATAACTATGCTTATTAAAATTATAAATCACAAATGTATCAACTAGAAAGAATAGAGAAGGTAAAGTATAACCACTACAAAAAAAATCAATATAGCATCAACTAAAATTTGTTGCTATTCACCAAAAATCCGTTCCCAACTCTTTTTAGCAACGGGTTGGAAATAAAAATTTGTTGTTGCTAAAAGGCTTTGTTGCCATGGGATTTTGGAAACCAGTTGCAAAGCAATTTTGTTGCAATATAGCATCAATTTAAATATAGTTTCCATGATTGTTGCTGTTTTTGGTGCATTCGTTGCCAACTTTGGCATTAGATTACCATTGATTGTTGCTAATATTAGCAACAAATTATTAATGTTAGATCCTAAAATAGCAACAAATTATTAATGTTGGTTCCTAAAAATAGCAACAAATTATTAAAGTTGGTTCATAAAAATAGCTACAAATCATTAATATTTGTTGCTATCAACACTACGAGACAAAAACCCATCCCTATTAGCAATTCGGTTCAACCCGATCTCGGCCTTTACCAATCTGAAACCTCACTCAAGTTAGGTCAACTCGGCTCGACTTTGCATGTAAGACTCTTTGAATCCCCAGTCTCAAGAATCGCATTTGGTAGAAGTCGAACTTGCGACCTCAAAGTCAGATGGTGAATCTCTTACCAACTATACCAAGTACTATTTGTTTACTTCTATGCATATAATTTATAATAAGTGAACAAAATATTAGAGACGAAATTGAAAAATTTGTCTCCAAATTTGGGACAAAATCAAAAATTCGTCTCTAAATTAGAGACAAAATTGAAATCCGTCTCTATTTGATGTCATTTTAGCAACAAATAATTTTATACATTACAACAAAAAGTGGCTTACATATAAATTAACAACAATATGTAACACAACTCGTTTCCAATGACAACAAACAAAATAATGCGTTATCAATTAGCAACAATAATTTAGAAGACTTGTTTCTAATGGAAACAATTCAAAAATTCATTGTATTTGTTTGTTTCTAAATCAATACAACTAAAATATTTGTTGTCATAGTTTGTTACTATTTGGCAACAAGAGAAAAATATGATGCCGTCTAGTAACAACTAGTAAGACAATTTGTTTTAAAAAGCAACAAATCAAAAATATGTAGCCATTGTTTATTAAAATCTAAAGCATAAAATGTCGTTTTTTATTAGGCAATGAAAAAATTTAGATTCGTTGCTATTTAGCAAAATTTTAAAAATATGTTGCCAAACTTAGTTGCTAAAAAGCTTTTATTTTTGTAGTGAACACTTTAAAAATAAAAATAAAAAAAATAATTAAGACAGTGCAACACTCAAAAACAATTATAAAGCATATGAACTTTTTTTTTTTTTTTTTTTTGGTGGAGATAAAGCATATGAACTATGAAGTACTATATATGCTGGTGGAAAGTGATATTTGTAATAAAATCAAAATTGGCAGCTAAATAATCCCTACGCATTTCCTTAAAGAGTAGAAGATTTATGGCATTACCATAACATATTGTTTTTCCCATTGTTTCTAAATACATTGCATGTGTATGCTATTTTATTTATAATATATTAGTATACACAGTGACGATTAATTAACACTGTATGACATTAGCTAAGCCACATACAGTGCAACGTGTTAAACTCTATGAAAAAGGACGGAGTATTTTATTTGTATTTAATTATCATTGAACATCTTTAATTTTGTAATTAAAAAAAAATTATATTTGAAAATTAAAAGTACATAATATGAATCTAATAAGTATTATTTTTAATAATTTTATTATCTTAAGAATTAGTGCACAGTATGTCAAATATGATCAAAGTTTGATATGATGAACAATCGAACATATATAGCCAAAATCAAAGAAATAAACCTAACTAAGCCATATTGATCGTGTTTTTGCATTATATTATATGATCGTGGAGTAACATCATCATATCCGCGGTGCTATATGACGATAACAATAATTAATGTTGGACCAACCAATATATTTGTAATAAACCAATATATTAATATATAGTTTGGTGCCACTATATATATAATGAAATAATAATAAAACTTTAGCAAAGTACTCCGTACTAGTGTACTACATTGCTAAATCAGGCATAGGAAAATAAAGTAACTCATCGAAATAACTAATTGCTAATTCGAAGAAGAAAACAAACAAAAGAATGTTTTGTGTATTAAGTTAACTTGATGTTTAACGAAAAAAGAAGTTATCTAACAACCTTGGTAAGTACGAGTAGCTTAAAACTCTAAAAATGCATCTCGAACTACTATCAATATCATCATATAAAGAGTGCTTCTATAAATCTATACTATATTACTATACAGTCTAGTTGCATGTGCATTTGTACTTGAAACACATTTACACATAGAACATTAATAACTTCTCGTAATAGGGTATTTACCTAGCTAGTGCGTGCGTGTTTAAGAATGAAGAAGGGTTGTGTACAATAGTTAACAAAATACAGGTTCAAATCTCGACCCTTATTGTAATTTATATTGTTATAGTGACTCATTCGAACAATAATGAAAAATTTGGTTACAGTTTCAAATTTTGGTCTAATAAAGTTGATGAAAACTCTCGAAAAACTCGGTGAGACAAGAAATCGCATATGTGAAAGTAACATAGTAATCATTAAAAAATTTATGCTACGAGACAAAGTAATTAAACTAAACGTATAAAATAATATGAAGCAATTCTAGTGGGATGGAGAAATACTAAAATATGCATGGTAAGTAAAGTATGTAGAAAATATAAAGATTCTCTTACTAAATTGGTAGAAACCTAATGTTAGCATGCTTAGATCAGAATCAATCCTTATCCAGAGGCCAAAATAAAAAGTAATAATAAAGCTTACATAATATTATAGTGCGAATCATATATCTTGTGAACTGTGACATTTTACCTTATCAATAATAAACGTACATTTCATTAAGAAATTAGGCACATCATAGAATAATATAATTCCGTGTGAATATTATTGTTTTTATATTCTGAACACCATACATCAATCTTTTCTGATAGATTGTAAAGGATAATGGTATATAAATGAATTTTATGTTATCCTAATTCTTAATAAATTACCATCATTCACAAATATTGTCACCAAAATTATCTCAAATACTCTATGTTGTACCTAATTTGTACATTTTATGCCTCCTGTATATTTCACCCAAAAAAATAAACAGTTACTCTGTGTATGTTTGTACACTAAGTCACTAATACACTCCATATATATCTCTTTTGATTTTCACTCTCAAATGTACATTAATTATTAACCATTAATATATTTGGTTTCATATTAACAAATACAAAAAATAAAAAAAAATAATCACGCATGGTTAGAAAATATACAAGATCACATATGATAATATACTCAACATAATCACGCATGTTTAGAAAATATACAAGATCACATATGATAATATACTCAACATATATACGTTATCATTTAATGGAAAACTGGTGGAAATTAGCTTGATCGATAATAGGTCCCCTCTAAATTTCAAATACCATCAAGGGGTTATTGCAAATTTTCCAAGGTTAATGGGAAGTCAGTTTGAGTAGTCCGAGCTAGTGTGTAGTCCTTTAGCGTGTGTAGGTTGAGCGTTACACCAAGTTACTACTTTTAATTATTCCGTGTGATTATATGCATAGTGTATGTATTTCATACTTATGGTGTTTCTTTTTTTTTTTTTTTTAAAAAAAAAAAATTAGACCTTATAATTTATAATTATATACATATATTTTCATGTTTATAACATTATAGGAATGGTTTAGAGGGTTAAATAACCACCCTTATTGACATAGACGTTCTTTGAGTATGTTCAGTACACTAATCAAGCCTATCAAGGAGATTAGGATAAATTGGCTTTTTATTTTTTAAATAAACGAACTTAAATGTTGAATTGTGGGCCCACCTGGCGGCTGTAAGGCCCAAAATATTTGGACCGTTACAAGGTTACCATTGGGCCCACAGGAGAATTTTGATTCAAACTAGTAGCTCATTGAGTCACTATTGGTAGAAAAAACAAGTGCATGCCTTAAACATCACGTATGTTGCAATAAATTTCCTTAAGTACGTAAATCTAAAACTCATGTTTAACGCAAATAATGGTCAAATAACATATTCCTACTTTCCTATCTACCATTGGACTTTAGAGTTTGTAGTCATGATCTTGACATGACTTTCATCTTCTACCATGAATAATAATGTGTGGCATTTAGGAAGCGGGCTGGGGCCTGGGGGCTGCTGGGGGTGACATTGATTGTACTACACAATGTTGTTTTGGCCGTGCCTAGGTTATTGTTGAGGTTGGCATCAGGATCCATGATTTATGACATGTACGACAACATATTTTAACATAAAACCTAATGGTACGACAAGACCCAATATGTGACCCATGAAGTTTTTGTAGCTCTCTAAATATTTGTGTTACCGCTGAAAATAGCTATTATTTATACTTCCTTTTTTTTTCCTTGTTTCATTTTATAAATTAAGGATGTATGGGCAATTTTTAAAAGTGAGAGAGATGGAGAGACTAATGAAAATGAACCCATGTAATAACTAATAATAGATCGATAGAGAGAATTAATTAACTAATAACAAAAGCGATGCAACATGCAAGTAATTTAAAACTTGTATTTAAAAAAAGTGATACAACTAAAAAACACACAAGGAAATAAAATAATTTGCAATGTTAAAAAGGTAGGAAAAATAAAGAAGTGACCTCAAAAAAAAAAAAAAAAAAAAAAAAGCATTTACGCAATTTAAGGCCCATAGAAGTTTATCATTTAGCAAATAAGCAACTGGACCCAGTCGACATAGAAAGAAAGCCCAATAATTCTAGCTTACATTACGTGACCCAGTGGCCTAATAACCAACACTTTCTCAACAACATAAGAAAAGGAAATGCAAGTACAAAAAATGAGAGAATGTTGTAGCAAAAGACTCATTTTCAACATCTTGGAATAAATTACGGAGTAATAGAGTGCTTTAGGATACAATTATAAGTCATAATCAAGTGTTTTATTATCAATTAAGTTGTCTTCATTTTAGTCTCTAGATCTAAACGACATTAACATTACAAGTTAGAAATCAAAATGAAAACAGTAAGAAATCTACCTTTCCTACACCACTAATATATAAGAAATTTGTCGATATGGTAAATATACCTATAAAATACTAATTATATATTTTTTCCTTTTATTTTTAAAATTTGGAGTATAGATTAAGGGCCTGTTCTCTTCTGTTGAAATTCAGTTCAATTCAGTTCACCTCTTAATTTACGTCTAATGATATTGCTAATGATATAAAGCCAAATTTCATTATTTTAAGCTCTTATTACAACAACAACAACAACAACAACAACAACAAAAAACAATAATAACAAAAACAATAATAATAATAATAATAATAATAATAATAATAATAATAATAATAATAATAATAATAATAATAATAATAATAACAATAACAATAACAATAACAATAACAATAACAATAACAATAACAATAACAATAACAATAACAATAACAATAACAATAACAATAACAATAACAATAATCAATAATCAATAAGTAATAAATAATAATAATAATCATCATCAATAAATAATAATAATAATAATAACAATAATAATTGAAATAATAATACTAATAATAATAATAATAATAATCATCAATAAATGATAATAATAATAATACTAATAATAATAATAATCAATAAATAATAATAATAATAATCATCAATAATTAATAATAATATGTACATTTGTATATACACATATGTATAGTAATAAATAATCAATAAATAACCAAAGATCACTAATCCGTAGTTAAAAATCACTAATTAATAAGTTCAGTTTCAGTTCAGTTCAGCTCAGTTTAGTTTAGTTCAGTTCAGTTCAGCTGAGTTCAGTCAATCGGAACAGGCCCTAAACAATTTCACTATCCATCTCAAATTCAATTTTAAGGTCTATTCACATTTACTTAATTTCAGTTCAGTTCAGTTCAACTCCAATCAATTTAGTACAATTCAGCGCAGTTCAGTAAATGTAAACATGCCCTTACTTTATTTAAAAAGTTTTAATTTTTAAGGTATGTTTTTTTTTTTTCTAGGTACTAAGAAAGAGAAGAGTCAGAAGATACATAAAAAAAAAAAAAAAAAAAAAAAAAATGCTATCCTTGATCCTTCTACTACAAGCATTACCAAAGAAAAGCTCTTGTAAAACTGCCACTTGGAATTGGAAAACTCTGTCATGTCAGAGACCACCATTGCAGTAAAAAAATTTCTTCTCATCTTTCCCCCTTTTCTCAACCAATAAATTCAATTTTTTTCAAAAGCAACCATAATTCTCACTATAAACAAACTCACAATCAATAGCATAAAGAAAAAGTTTCCCCTTTTCTCATCAGATTCCACAAATCCAATGTAAAATTTTCAACAAATCTTCAATTTCAACAAAAACCCATTAAATTTTCAATCTTATTATTTTGTCAAAGAAATTGAAGAAAATTTCTGGGTTAAGTTGAACCGATTGAATCAGGAACTGGGTAATTCTCAATTTACAATGGAAAGTAAAATTGAGAGAGAAAATAGTGAGCAAATGGTCAATTATTATGCTGAAAATACTGTATTTGTTGCTGTGGGAAAGAATTTCAAGGAGAGTGAATCTGTGTTGACATGGGCAGTAAAGAAATTTGGTGGGAAGAAGAGAATTTGCATTCTTCATGTTCATCAACCTCACTTGCTCAGTTTTTGTAAGTTCTTCATCTTCTTTCTCTCTCCTCAATCTCACTAATTTTTTATTGAGAATTTTGGATTTGTGAATTTCTTATGATATTTAGAGGTTGAATTTGGTGTGTTTTGGTACTGATCTAAGAAATAGTGATTTCTTTTGATGTTAAGTGTGATTGACTCCATTATATTGTTAGACCCTTGTTTACTTCACGATCTAATGGAACAGTGATTTGAGTTTATGACTCGTTTGGTAGGTGGTAATAAATCGCGGGAGGACTGATTGGAGGTAATATATGGAGTAGTGGAATTTGTAGTTTTGGGTTGCTATTGATTGCCTTAATTCTAACACTCTTTGGGGAATTCAGTCCGAATTATTAAGTATTTAATTTATAATTATTAAGTTTTTTTTATTAAAATAAGGTTATAAGAATGGGTTAATTTTCCCATTGGAATGAAGCCAAAAGAGTAGTTAACTTTGGGTTTGGATTATACTAATGGAATATTTCAAGGGGCTCTTTGGAACTGCTTGCACTTCATTCATGGTGAGGTAGCAGATGTCCGTGTTTGGAATTCGGACCAAAGGATAAGTGAAACTAGCTTCATTTGGCATCACATTTTTTTCACACGGGTGAAATTGCTCACGTCGTAGTTTCCCTTACCCAGCCCGTGCTACCCTGGTAGTCAGAGGAGCCTGTTTAGATGTATTGAGGTAATGTTGAGGCTTGTGAGCAAGTTAGGATTGACCTACTTAATGGTAGAAAATGATATGTTGTGTTTTAGCTTATTGTCGTCTTAGTAGCTAGAATTATCGTAGTAATGAATTTGACTGCCAATTGCTGAAGTAGTTGATCCTTCATTGCAGTTGCACTTGAATATAGTATGGCATGGTTGCATATACACTGGCTTTATTAGGAATAATTTCTCTGTTTTACAATATTAAGGATAAGCCTGATTGTCGTACAGTGGATATATAATGACACTTTGGCACTTCAAGTTGAACCAAAAACATGGAAATCTTCCTTAAGCATAGTCCAACCTTTAGACCCCTTTTATATTGGAGTTTTAAAATCAAATCCACCATACATCACTGTCCATTTAAGTGTGAACTATGAGATTTATTTTCAACTTGAACATCTTAATGGTTGAAGAGAGGTGGACGCAGCCATGAGCCCCATGAGGCCATGACTAATTGAATTCATTGACCTTATGACCTATTCAATTCAGAAACTAGTTTTTGGGTGTCTACAATGGCATTTCTGATACTTTATTATTCTCTATCTCTTATATGATGGACTTAGGGATCCTTTGCTGCGGCATTTTGAGTGTATAACTAGGCCAATGCCAAACTGTCAAGTTTCCTGTGATGAAACTGCTTATAGTGAAATAAAATTCCCTCGTCCATTAATGCCACCATCAGCTCACAACCAAATATCTTGGCAGTTTTGATTATTGGATTGCTTATTTGCTGCATTTGAGCAACTTTTTATCGCTTGATAATTATCATTGTGAGCCATTACTAATAGAAGTATTCCTGTATATCTACTGTTTAAAATACTTCAGTAGATGGGAAGTTATCAATCAGCAAATTCAAACAAAGAGCAGTCAAGGCACTCCATGAATCACATATGCAGAAACTCCATAAACTCATCAGTCAATATGTTTCTTTTGTTTCTCAAATGGGGGTAATGCTCACTTTCTTTATCCAGATGTACTTTACACTGTTTATTGCATTTTTTATTTTTTGAAAATGTTTTTGTTGGTTTGTCCATCTATATAAGGCAGTTGACTGGATTGACTTGTGTCCCTAGGTGCGTGCAGATAGGATGTGGATAGAAATGGAGACTGTTGAGGATGGAATAGTCAAGATGATTGCTCAGCATGGTATCAAATGGCTAGTGATGGGAGCAGCGGCAGACAAAAATTACACAAAGTATGTGGAGCTTTTTGAGTTTGTATGGTTTGGTTTGTTAAGATATCATATTAGCTGGAGGATATTAAATAGAACTAAATATTTTAACTAAACGAATATGCAGGGAAATGGCTGACCTGAAGTCCAAAAAGGCAAAATATGTCTATGAACAAGCCCTGGTTTCCTGTCACATATGGTTTATTTGTAGGGGAAAGCTTATCTGTACAAGGTTCCTTCTTTTCCCTCTTGTTTTATATATTCCTTCCGTAAGCAGATGTCATTGCAAATTTGTTACCTTTCCTCTTCTTTATTGCATATTCCAGTCCTATCTACTCTTGGTGTTCTGAATAACTTTAAAAAGCTTATATAAACAGGGAGGGTATTAAAAACTATCCTGGGATGGATATGTCAGAAGCTGCTGAATCACAAGATTCTAATATGGCCACCAAAGAAACTGAAAAAATAAGATTAGGTGGTCCTGGTGCAGAATATCCCCCAATTTCACAACCTCTAGATTTGAGTGGTGTGGCTGGAGAAGTAGAACATCTGAGAGTAGATCGTCTCGTAGGTGGACTATCATTGGATTCAGATGTTTCATCTGAGGGGTCTGTGTCAGAATCTCTAGAATCAGACGTGATGACTGAAGAAGTAGCACGTGTCAGAGTTAACAATCTTCCTGCCAGTACACAAGATTCTAATATGGCCACCAAAGAATCGGAGAAGATAAGATTAGGCTGTCCTGGTGCAGAATACCCCCCAATTTCACAACCACTAGATTTTTGTGGCGTGATTCTTCCGAGAGTAGAAGATCGTCTCGTAGGTGGACTATCATTGGATTCAGATATTTCATCTGAAGAATCCGAGTCAGAATATGTAGAATCGGATGCAATGACTGAAGAAGAAGTAGAACGTGTTGGCGTAAAAGAATCAGGGCCTGTGAGAATGGATTGTATGGCTGATGACCACGGATCACCCCCGTGTCTGACATTTCGGGAACGTGGCTCCATCCTCCGAGCCTTTTCTGATGATTTCAGCTCTGATATGAAGAAGGATACGATGTTAAAATCTCCAAACAATTGTAGGACTACAAATGATTGCATAGACAAAGAGAAAGAGGACCGTGGATATGATAGCAAGTTGCAGTTGTTCAAATTTCGTTCTTCATTCAAATCATTGTCGTCTGAAGGCAAAATGGTAGGCCTCATGAAATCTCTAGCAATTGCATGTTAATCTTATAGCTCTGAGTTGCTGAAATATGACATGCTAAAAGAGAGTTGGCTATTTTTGAAGAAATGAACAGGACTATGATGTTCTGAGTCCTTTTGTCCTTCGAAACACTGACTGATAGGAAAACTTCTCTTTGAAAGCTCACTGTGGTTGATAAATGTTTGCACAGGCAGGAAAAGCTAAACTGCAAACACCGAGAGAAACCCATGATAGACTGGAACAAGCCATTTCTGATGCTGAAAACTTGAAACAGTTAGCGTTTGAGGAATCAGTCAAGCGATGGAAAGCTGAGGACGAAGCTGTTGATGCTAAGAGAAAGGTATCTTGCGCTATAAAATACTATCATCTTCTTTTTTCTCTAACTTTTTGATTGTCCTACTATAAAGCAGGAAGATATGAATGCAGTGGAAGGCAACGATCTGATTATTGGGTAGACCCCGACCCTTGTCAATTAAATTTACTGTGATCAGACTGATTACTCTAAATTTCTCTATTGTTGCAGGCTGATGCTGCAAAAAGTAAATATATTGAGATGGTGAAACAAAGAAAAGCAATGGAGGAAGCTTTGTTAAAAAGGAACCTAGATTGTGGAAGAATCAAAGAAGAATATGAGAAGTGTAAGAAAGAACTTCCAAAGGTCCAAGATCAATGTTTTGGCCTAAAAAGCCAGATCACAGAATCTGAAACTGCAGCTAAGGAGCTGGAGGAGAAAATAATTTCAGCTGTTGAGCTCTTGATATCTTTCAAAAATCAGAGGGACCAGTTACAGCTGGAGCGTGATAAGGCTGTCCTAGAACTGAAGAATCTGGAGAATTTGAAGCAACAGAGAACTGCAGCATTGTCCGGCCTACAATTTTCAAAATTCTCCTTAGTGGAGATTGGTGAAGCAACTTGCAGTTTTGACCCTTGTAAAAGAATTGGAGATGGGAGATGTGGAAGCATTTATAGAGGTATCCTTCGACATGTAGATGTTGCTATAAGGATGCTGCCAAATGATGGGTTCTTGAGCCAACAGATGTTTGAACATTGGGTAAAATCGTATATGTACCTTAAGTTTGTACAATCGTTTCTTCTTTTTATATAATCAATCTGAACCTCACATATTAGCTATGTTATCCGGACTCTTTATTTTGCCTCAAGTATCCATGTTGGATTGTGGAGACTTGACACATCACTTTTCAAAATAATAGCCAAGTCCGAGTAACATATCTTTTAATAAGGAGCAGACATTTATTACTTCTTATGGGTTGGGAATTGCAGGTTGAAATTCTTAGCAGAATACGGCATCCAAACATAGTGACACTTATGGGGATTTGTCCAGAAGCGCGTACTATAATATATGAGTACCTTAAAAGAGGTAGTTTGGAAGACCAACTAGCATGCAGTGGGAAAACTCCGCCTCTGCAGTGGCAAACTCGAGTTCGCATTGCAATAGAACTGTGCTCTGCCCTGATCTTCCTTCATACAAATAACCCTCCAATTATACATGGGAATTTAAAGCCCACTAAGGTCCTTCTTGATGCCAATTTTAAGAGCAAACTTGGTGACTTGGGCATCTTCTTTTTGATCCCACAAAATGAGATTCCTATCAAAAGCCAACACTGTACCTCTCTGTATATTGACCCAGAGTTTCTTGAGACTGGAGTAGTTACTCGAGAATCAGACATATATTCATTTGGGATGATACTTTTACGACTTTTAACTGGTAGATCTTCTTCAGGAATTGTGAAGGATGTCAAATGTGCCTTGCAGAAAGATAAGCTTGAGTTTGTATTGGATTTTTCAGCTGGAGACTGGCCGATTAATCAAGCAAGAACACTGGCTCAAATGGCACTACAGTGCTGTGATAGAAAACCATCAAAACGACCTGACCTAGCTTCGGATATCTGGAGTGTTCTTGAGCCATTGAAAAAGTCATGTGACACTCGAGCATCATGCTTGCAGAAGAAGGAAAACCGCCGGCCCCCCTCTCACTTCCTGTGTCCAATTTATCAGGTATATTAAGTTATTAAAATGCCATATTTGCAACTTTTTCCACCAGTATATAATTATATATGAAAATCCATATTAGAGTAAACAATTATCTTATACCTACTCGAATAAGTTTAGCTCACAATTATGATGTGCTGGAATATAAAACTGATGACTAATGCATATTTCTGCATTGCAGGATAAGATGGAATAAAAGTAGTTAAGTTGCCTGATAAAATGAATTTAGGGGCACAATTTAAGCTCTTAACTATTTGCTTTTGTAACTTAATCTGCAGGATGTTATGATGGATCCGTGTACAGCAGAAGATGGCTACACCTACGAAGGAGAAGCAATAAGAGGATGGTTAGACAGCGGCCATACAACTTCACCCATGACAAACCTGAAACTTTCAACCTGTGATCTGATCCCCAATCACGCTCTTCAGTATGCAATCCAAGAATGGCTGCAGGGCTCATAATTGTACATTCTACACATCTCTTGCCTTAAGGTTGCACATAATATGGCTACAGGGTATACTTCTGTAATTCTTTTATCTGTCATACTTGGTCTAGTTATGCATACATACTGTTGGAACCCAAGAATGACCAAATGCATACTGTTGGAAGATATCTAATGTTAGTAATTATATTATACTGGAGTATCTAAATTTACATAATATAATTACTATCATTAAGATATACTCCAACTTATAGACGATTTTAGCAATAGTTACACTGATAGTTAGATAGCTCTGCAGTACAGTGAAGCTCTACTTAAGTTGGATCAGTGTTATAAGGGATTAGGGGATAACTAACATTTACTCGTGTTCCCTTCATGTGATCAAGAGTTTTTATCTTCTTTTTAATCTAATAATTTTCTAATAATCCATGATACAATAAGGTTTATTGATATGATTTATTATTGTAGGCATTTATTACCTGCCTCCTGTCTAATTATCAGAGTCTTGTCTCAGTGTGCAAAAATGTTTTGGTTGGCGCATTGCTCATTTTAGTCATACCAATGTCTTAAAGAACAGGAGAAAGTTAGTAGCTAACTAGCTAGCCTGCGGTCTTGTGCATGCCCATTTGCCCTTCAAGTCTCAACTCACTTAAGAGAGAGGGGTGGAGACGTGAAGTGGGTGTATGTAACCTTAGATAATAATATGCGTTATGAAAAAGGCGCTAATTGTGGAGAGGAACTCATCTTAGCAAAGTTGGTTGATAAAGAACTCTTTGCTCCACATTGATGAAAGTAGATGGGACTCATTTGATTGGGCTGGCAGGTTCCCCTTTTTTTCCATGGGTATGTTGTATGATGATGAGAGTTGCCTATCTTTCATTCTTTCCCTCAGCTTTTCACCATTATTATTTGGTGTAAAGTTCAATCAATAATGAAATCTATTAGCTCAAAAGATAAAGGAAATTTATGTATAGGTGATATTTGAAAAGATATTGGTCCGCACGTTTCAAAATAATCGTACTCTGTAACATTGTTTTTCAAGGTTAGAAAATTACATAATTGACTATTAATTTTCACCTATATGTAAGAAAATTATAATCACATGAGATCTTGTTAAATACACAGTTGTTTATAATAACATAAATCAACAATAGTAAATGACAAAGTAAATGCAAATGGTGAATTCTCATTGGTTAACCCTAGGTAACTACATTATTAGTTAAAAAATTGGAAAAGTTAATCACCTAAAGTAGCCTTAAATCACAATAAAATTCTTTTAAAAAAAAAATTAAAAAAAAACTCACAATAAATTCTAATATTCACCCAATTCATTTTGTCCATCTTGTACTTCGTAAAAATTATACGGGGTACATAATGAAAATTATAGTTGAGTCTTAAATCTTTATAGTTATAGATATAAGGATCAAAATTATGCTTTACAAATATGCTAAGTTAGAATGGAACCGCTAATAAAAAAATAAAAAAAAACTATAATATTTACTCGTAAAAAGTTACAATAGTAAATAGGATTCTTTATAGGAAGTATATATTATTGATGCATTAATTTCACTCAAATTCGAACGTTTAATTGCCTAAACCATGAGATATTGACCAAAGTAAATTCAAGATTATTAACATGTGTTTGTTCTCGGTTGAAAAGGAAAATATTATAGCTTCAATTAAATAAGAAATATTAATACCACCAATTAATAATTTAACACAATCTTATACGAGTAACCTATTGTTAAACATGTTTACTTAAGACTTTAGAGAATTTTAAATCAAATACTAGATGAGAAAAATAAAATGAGATTTGTATTTCTCTTTGTAATTTTCCTTGAAAAATATTGGAGATCTTTCTATTATTAAAGGCTTAAAAAATGTTAAAATAAAATTAAAAAGAGAAAATAAAAAACACAAGGAGAGATTTACCAAAGGTGGCATTTCCCTTGCTCTTCTTCTTCTTTCTCACCGTCTCTAAGCTTTCGCCGACCATCTTTCTTCACGTTCGTGCCCTTTTTCTTCCAGAAACTTCTTTCGTTTTCTCTCTCCTCTTCAACCCTGAAAAGCGCAGGCCATTCTCTATCGATCGACGCTTCTGATTCTCTCTCCTTTGAATCATAAAGTGTCAACTCATCACTGGGTACGTCACACTTTTTTTTCAAACTATTCTGCTATATTTTTTTGATAAATGATTATGATTTCATTATTCATTGTTGTATTTTATGCCTTCCCAGGTCATTTGACGCCTCAAACTTTGTAAAGTTGTTTGAATTTGATCTGATTTTTCTGGGGTTTTGGAATTTTGGTGATCTGCACCCTTTTGTTTTGAAGGGTTGTAGTTGGTATTTTGATTTCTTAGGGTTTTTTTGTTGATTTGGGATCATCGTGGATCCAATGTAGACTGTGGGTATCGTAGGTTTTTGCTTAATTTGATTTTAGCTCATTAATTTTGGGTGTTTTGGTGGGTTTTGTATTCTGATTTTCCCTGTACATTTAATTCATTTTGTAAGTTATTAAGTGCAATTGCTTGATTTGATTCGTGCTTTTGTTATTAAAGAGTGGTCTTTTTTGTTGTTTGTTTTAGGTTTTTTTGGTGAATATTTCTGTACATTGTGCTGTATGTTGTTGGCAAATTTGTATTGTGTGGAATTTTTTGAGACATTGTTGTTTGAATTGTTTTCGATTACTTTTGCATATATGGAATACATTGCTTGATTGCCCGGACTAGTCAAGTATGTTTGGTTGAGCAGTCATGGTTTAGTACCTTGCCTTGTGTAGAAGATCTCAAACAATTATTAGAAATGGCGGAAAACACCCTCTTGTCTGGTGGTGATCAGGTTGATTGGAAAGTCTTACTTTGTAGTTGTTTTGAACTTTTATTTGTTCCGCCATTTCCGCTCTCGTCTCATTGAAAAGCTATGCAGTGTACTCAAAGCTTTCAAGGATTAATATAAGCCTTAAATTATTTGGAAATGCAGTTTTTGAGAATGAATTTGGGCTCGGCTTTAATAAGGAAGGAATTGGAAATCACTTGTGGCTGGTCTAGGAACCAATAGAATGGGTAATATACATGAGCTTCTTTACCATGAGAAAAAGCTATGTTATCAGTATGCTGAAATGATTTTAGCTGTTTTGTTATAAGAGGATGCCAAGGGAATAAAGCTGTTCTCAACAAGGAAAGATGGATGAATTAAAGAGATGTTTTACATCAAGGTTAGTATGTAGCTCTTTTCCATGTGAGGTATCAACACGTTATTGGCTCCTGAAAGTGGAGCATAAGAAATTAAGCAGCCATATAGCTGTCCTAAAGTTTGGCTTCTATCTATGGGTTGCTACCAAAATGTGATCTCGTGAAGTCCCAAGGAATTTTCTATCCAGCAAAAGTAGCTATATCTTTTGTTCCTTTCTATTTCGTTATCATCTCACTAAATGATGGCCGCTTGGCATGTCTATCGTCTTGGGGGGTTGGAGATCTGCAGTTCAAAATATTTGGAGTAAACTTCTGATTGTCTTCTTTACAGTTTACGCTAGAACGCTACAGGTGGCTTTGATATTTTGGTGCTAGTGAAGTACATATCTGTAACCTGTTCACTGCTCATAAATTAGGTTTAGCCTATTTACCCGTTAATTTCAGAATTTTAGAAATTGGGCTCAGATCAATTTGTATGCTCATTTAATGGAAAGATATCTGGTATCTGGAGATTTTGGCAGCAATGGGCTCTCTTAATCTTAGCTTGTTAAAGATATGGAAACGGTGATTATGACAAAGACATTTGGGAGAAATAATAACTTGTGATATCTTTATTTTTCATCAATGTGTTTTTTGACCAAAAGAAAAATTATTGGTGAATTTAGAGCTTTGAACAAGCATGTCTAATATTCTGATGAAGTCGTGTGTACAATACTTCAATTTATTTGTCTTCTTTATGTCAGATGACTTTGATTCAATTGTTGAGGTCTTACCTGCATTCCATAGATCCATACTATTGTTATTAAAGAATTTTTTTAATGCAGAACATTATCCTAAGGTTGCAACCGTTACAGTAGCACTTGGAAGATAAATGCCACTTCCACAGATCAAGGCCGCTGGTGCAGCAGATGCAATGAAGATGGAAGATGGAAATGACTCTTTAGACACGTTCATCAGACAAGCAATAGGGAAAGAGCCTTTTCTTTCTTTCTCCAGGGCAAATGACAGTCCAGTTCAGTGGATTCAGTTACTTCATGCCTTGGATCAACAAGGTACTAGCAATTTTCTAGTGGTCTAGAGTGTAATAGGATAGAATTGAAGGAGAAGTTCTAGAGCATGTCTTCGTTACAAGTCTCTCATACATCTGAGGTTACTAGTTCAAAAGAATCTTTTCTCTATGTTAAATGAGGTTGACACAATAAAGATGCAAAGAATGCTTTACAATTTTCTGGGTCCATGCTAAGGCCTATGGCGAGTCTGAAAATGTGTACGTTTCTAGCAGGTCTCAGAGGCTAGGATAATGGTGTGATTTGTGTAGTAGCGCTTTTTTCTGAATTTTTCCTTCTATATCTTCCATGGCAGATTTGCCAGGGTGGCCTTTGTTATCTCCATTGAAGGTTCAAATGCAGAAATGTGATAAATGTTCTCGTGAATTTTGTTCAACTATCAATTACCGAAGGCATATGCGCCTCCATAGGAGGAATTTGAACATTGATAAGGTATCCTTTCTTACATATACCTTTTGTCACTTAGCTGAAGTTGTGTTATACAGAAGTCACAAAATGGTTGCTAAATTATTCTCATTAGAAAAACGAATCTGTTAAACCTCATTGTCGCCCAATTTTTATTTATTTTTTAATTTTTTTTTTTATTAAGCTTTGATTAGTACCCTCTACCTTGGCTTATGTTTATGCACGTTCTACAGGATTCAACTATGAAAAACAGGGGCCTGTTGCAAGCTTTTTGGGATAAGGTACGTAATTTTCTATTTTTTGTGTCACCTCTGGGTCATTTCTGTTGGAAGCTCGATTTAAATCTGTAATTTCTGGTTCTTTTGTCGCAGCTTTGTCCGGGAGAAGCCATGGAGGTTATCTCATTTGATGACGTTTCTCTTGAGGTAAGAACTTTGTCTGGGATCATGGTCGGATTCACAAGTTTGTGGCTGCTTAAATATTACTTCGTAGTTAATGATCATAGGGTTTATTGGTTTTTTGCACTATTTAGCAATTATCTGCAGCAGTGGTTTACTCCTAACCTTTTCAAAGTCCATAATATATTAAAATTAACATGCTAGGTTCAAGAGTTACTTTCGAATTACTTTCATGTACATAATCTCATAGCTAGAGCTTATTGGTTTGGAAATGTGATATAGAAACAAGAGAGTATAGGCATATCACATATGAGTTTAGAATTAATAATAGCGGGCACTTGAATTTTCATACTATCTCTTCTATTTGTAAATTTTTTAATATAATTATCTCCATTTTGACATTTACTTAGCATGTTTGGAACACCTGAATTATACACTAATTATCTTTTTCATTGATCTCTCTAGGGAGTTAGTGGGTGCTCGATTGTGAAGGCATTGACATCATTTATTCGGAAACCTGGATTCACTTCTCTTCCACAGATTTATGTAAGATCTGGGTCTGCACTCCTGGTAAGAAACTAGTTGTGTTTCTGATTATATTTTGACCACTAGCTGCTGCTGTTCTCTCTTGTTTTTTTTTTTGTCTCCAATCAAAACCTTTTTCTGTTATATCTAGCTTGTTAACAGGATAATCTTAGCTTTAACACTGATTATTAAAAATTGCAGGACCTTGTCCAGGGTAGACCTTCCAGGTTCCCGATATCGTCACAAGAGCTGTTTAGTATTTTAGATGATGCAAGCGAGAAAACCTTTTTATGTGCTGGCACAGCTACATCATTACAGAAGTATGTGTTTGACGGTGAGGCTGGGAAGATTGGGCTTGAGATGAGGAACTTGGTTGCTTGTACCAGTTTCCTTGTTGAGCAGAAAGTGGTACAGACTTGACTGATTCTTCAGATTTGTGATGTTTTCTTTACAAGCATTTTTCCTAAAGTGTCCTTTTTTCATGATTTGTGTTTGGATATTTCATCTGATCTACTATTTTGCAATTTGCAAATGTTTATTATCTGTTCATGAGCAGGTCAAGGCATGCCTTGCTGATAAGGAGGCTGAAGCTTTAAGGTACCAGAAATTGCTTGTGGAGGAAGAAGAAGCTGCTCAAAAGAGGTATCTTGCTGTCATTATGTTTTTGCGACTTTCTTGACTTAATAGTTCACTAAAGTGATATATACACTATCTCAACATTGTGTGTGTGTAGACTGAGCCCTTTTTAACTGATATGCCTTGGTATACATTGTTACAGACAAGCTGCTCTTATGGAAAAGAAAAGACAGAAGAAAATTAGGCAGAAGGAGCAAAGGGCAAAGGAGCAAGCCATTGCGGAAATAGATGATTCTCCAGAAGAAAGTTCCTCTTCTCCGCCAACATCAAGCCCTGTTAACACCCCTGACTCTATTCTGGATGTTCCAGAAATTCTTCACAACTTAACTTTATCTTCTGAGCCTGTTCAAATAATGAATGTGGAAGCAGATAGCACCAAAATTCAAGAATATGAATATGCAGATTTTGATACTTCTCAAAATGTTTATCCTGATTTGGTTACTTACCATAATGTTGAGCATAGAACATCGCATCGAAATGGCCGAAGGTACACAGTTAACTCTCGTTGGCAAGTACAAAAATTGCAGAGAACACCTAATGGCTTCCATACCAGTCACAACAATCAGGCACCAAAGCTTGGACCCACGCAAAAGCATGCTTCTTCCAGGGATTCCCGTTCTGCTGCAACCATTGGCATTAAAGTTTGGACCCCAAAACCAAAATTAGACACTGATGAAGAGGGTTGCAAGCATAGGTTACAGATTGAAGCACCAAATCCACCTGGCCAGGATAAAAAGCATGAAGTTCTAATTGGTTCAATATCTGTCACACTTGGAAATTGTAATAACCCGCAACATGACGAAGATCTTGTTCGAAATTTAGAAAGCAGTGCCTTGGAGGTCTCCACACCAAACGTAAATGGTATTAATGAGAAGCCTATGAAAAATGAGGCAATTCAGGGTACTGCAATTCGTTCACATAAGGGGGGCCAGCTCCCCATCCAAAATGGTGGTAGTGCTTGTGAACTTGGTAGCATCCCTTGCAATGACTGTAATGAGGTCCAGCAGACATGTGAAGCAGAGACTTACTCGAATTGCCGTGAAGACAATTATGCTTCTGTTGAAGGTGGACTTGAGAGAGGTTCAAGGTTTTCCAGCCATGTGGCCGAAGCTTTTCTTGCAAAAAGTATGTTTTCAAATGCCCATCTCTCTCTCTCTCTCTCTCTCTCTCTCTCTCTCTAGAACATCTCAGTTATTGAATACTAGCTGTATAGCTATATGTAGAGGACTTTGTGCTTTGCTTTATAGCCTTGCATGCTCTTCCTAACTTCTTTTGTAGATATAAGGGAGTGTGTTTTCGTTAATGACACCAGTTAGGGTGATTAAAGTTAGTAGAATCTATGGCATGAGCTGATGTGATGTGTTGGAATAGATGCTAGTAGTGATATGTCATTAAGATTTAGTAATATGTCAATTGTTTTACTATTTTTGACTCTCGATGTTTCACTGTAGGGTTTGATGTATATATATCTGGGCTAAAAGTTGGTAAGGCATAGCATGTGATGGATGATATAATTCTGAATTTTCTTAAAAATTAGATATGGGTAATCTGTGGAGAGGGAGAATAGTTTAGATTTGCATCCTAAGGGTATATTGGGGAATGAAATAGGTTCATATTTTCCAGAGAATAATGGGAAAAACATTTTTGGAATTGTGAAAATTAATAATAATACTCCCCGTCACTTTTCTATGGTTACGTATTCGATTTTGGTGTTTCGTTTTCAAGGTTACATATCTAAACTTTCCTAAAATAGAATACTAATTTTATACATCTACCCCCATATTTTTCACACTCCTAAACACTCACCCTCATATTACCTACTTCAAAGGCAAGTATTCTCATTTACCAAAATATTTGCTTATTTATTTCCATTTACCAAAATATTTACTTACTCCCAAAGTATATATATTTATTTACCTACTCCCAAAACAAATATTCTCATTTTTCATTCTCCCAAAGTTTGGTTCTTAATACCCGCGTAAAAAACCAAACATAACCATAGAAAAGTGACAGAGGGAGTAATAAAGTGACGTGTAATTTTTTGAGATATTTAAAAGGTCTGAGTGTAAAGCGCATATCTACTCATAAATTAGTGTACAAATGGTCTTTTGTTAACATGTTTTGCACCAAAACTCATATAGGGTGGAAGGAGGCTATTGCATCAAACCATGTGAAGCTAGTCTTACTTCCTGAAGCTAGACCTCCTGAAGGCCCTGATGTGCAGAATGAAAACAAAGGTTCGTCCAGGTTGGAACATCGTCGCATCCTTCATAGTGCAGAGAACCGTTTGGAGAATTACACAAACCTTGAACATTCAGTGGCTGTCAAGTCAAAAACCAGAGCTAAGGCAGAGAAGGGCAGTAAGGTGAAATACATTCCAAAACAAAAAAGTGCTTATTGAAATTCTGGGATTCATAGGTGGTATAGCATATGTGCAGTTTTCATTTACTATATCTTACATTCTTAGCAGAGGTTCCAGTTTTAACAGCGGTCTTCTGTCCGAAAATTTTTGGGGAAGTGATTATTTAGTAGCAATCTAGTTTCTTTTCTGGTTTCAGGATGCAGTAACCTCTATTTTTGCCTTCAATAGGTTAGATTTTTTTCCTCATGTAATAAACTGGGGTTTTTATAAGTGATGTTGCAGATTTTACCCTCTGGCTTTTTGTTGGCAATTTATAGTTTTGCGTCTCTTCTCTTTAAAATGCGAAAGTGTATAGCTTCCGAAGTTCAAGATGATAAGTTTAGTATAGTACTAGTTAGGACTTAGGAGACTTCGGACCTGACCAATTGATGTCATAGAAAAATTTGTGCATCTATCATTCTTTCCTGTTATTCCTATGGTTTAATGATATGATATCTATGCTGCATCTCTACAGAGTAAAATGTATGTATTGTTCATTTGTGCAGTGTTAAGTCTTCTTGAAAACAAACCCTCAGTCAAAATGGCTTATTTTTAAGCAAAGAGAGTGAATGTGTATTATTTTAGTCACAGGGATACTAGTATAATACTTGGAGTAGCTTGTTGAGAAGATTATAATAGTCGTCTCAAGTTTTTCTTACTCACACGTTTATGGTAGCATTCCTAGCATATATGACATGTTATAAGATTACGCTGCACATTTCTGATCTGGCATTTCGTCACGCTTCACATTTCTGATCTGGCATTACGTTATGCTGCATATTTCTATTTTACATGCCAAGAAGTTGTTTGTTTGTAAAATACTCTGACTTGTGCTAGTTTATAGTCGTACTTAATAAATTAATGAGCACATTATACGTTAAGTAGAAATAATATTCAATATTATATCAAGCAAATTGCATATTCTATTTAAGCATCCTGCACATAAAACACGTAATTATTCCAAGGATAGGTATTAAAATTATTTCTATAGGGTGCAATGGAGGATGTATGTTAATTATAAAATACTTCAGTAAACTTGTATTTATTTTCTATTGGTCTTGCATTCAATAAGATCATTAATTCATTGCGTACAATAGAGTTTGCTACCTTATAAATATTGTATGTCAACCCTTTACAAATGAAACTTGAGCTTAGTCTTCAAAAATTTTAAGATCAAAATCAGAATAATTTTCGCGACTCATATTATTCAGATGTCGAAAATCACCCTTAGGCCATACCAGCTATCCGACATCGATGATTTTATGCAATGGGCTTGTAACTCAGAAGTGCTTGAATACATCCCATTGCAGTTTTGGATAAAAGTCAACTCGTCAAGGGAAGAAGTTGTGAGCTACTTCAAAGAAGTGGTCATTAACCATCCATGGTACCAAGCCATCTGCTTGGATGGCCGTCCCATTGGCTACATAGTACTGGAAACACAAGCTGGTAAGTTTGGTGTTGATAGGGGTAGAGCTCAACTATCCTATGCTTTAGGCCGTGAGCATTGGGGCCGAGGCATCACCCCTATTGCATTGAGAATGGCTCTCTCTTCTGCTTTCCAGAAGCTTACTAATCTTGTTAGGATTCAAGCTTTTGTTGATCTCGAAAACAAGGCGTCTGAAAGGGTGCTCCAAAAGGTTGGTTTTTCTAAGGAAGGTGTTTTACGACAGTATGCTGTGGTAGTAGATGGGGAGGGTATAGATCTTATTATCTATAGCATTATATCCACTGATCCAATACTTAATTGAAACCAGCTTTCTATACACTATAATTTTATGATGTATATCGTAGCTGTGTTTCTTGTATTACTACTGTATTCATCAAGCTTGTTTGATGGACCGGTTGTATAATATCGTCTCCTCTTTATTAACAGTTTAATATCCTAAACATGTTAATATAAGTTCCGAAAATGAAAATAAAATCTTAGTAATTCAACCCAGTGATTCAGATTTCAACTTGTATGGACATAATAATTTAAAATAACTCAATTTTGAAAGTGTCATTTTCTAACAAGTTTCGCATTCAATCATTACCAGCCTATAATTGAGTTGGTCCTAAGACAGTATGTTGTATTAGCTGATGGGGAGTGTTTAGATATTAGTATGTATAGTATCTTATCCATCGATCCAATGCTTAATTGAAAGTTGCTAAAGCTTGATCTAGTGAAAAGGTTTGCATCTCACGACATGAAGTTGTGAGATCGGATCAAACTTCACCAGAGGCCCTACACTTTGGAATGAAGATTTCCATACCCTTTTCCCCCGCTTTCAAAGGAGTAAAGGACCTTATATGTTGTTTGATGGATAAGTTGTATTGATGAATTTTCAAAGTTTATATTTAAGTAAGATTTATAAAATTTTCTTGTTATTTGAAAAGTTCTTTCTATGTCAATTGGGTTAAATGTGGACAACTTAAACAATTTATTAATCACGTATGTGTTTACTCTTTTTTATAATACGTACTCCCTCCATCTCTTTATTAATGTCCACTTTATATTATGTGAGTAATAAATGATAGAAAGTGGACACTAATAAAGAGACGGAGGGGGTACTATATTCAAAGGATTAAGTATCAGTTAGACAATTACTAGAGTTAACCTCACTACTCGTACGTGTTATACAACTCTAATACAACTTATTAGGAACTCATGCACGCCACAACGAGTTTCTACCTAAGCACTCCATAACAACTTTTAAGATCCCAAATCTCCAATAATAACAAGTTAAAAACACTTTTATGTTAAAAGACAACATAAATTCCTCTTTGTCAACTACATCTTGTGTTCCTTTGCTATTCATTTGTTTTATCTCTTGTGTTTTTCAAGGATAATGATTATTTTGTTAAGCTTTTTCAATTGTGAAAATTCCAGGCATTTACTTAGGAAAAGTCCTTAGGAAAATTCCTGCTTGGTTCCTACGCAAGAATTTTCTTCTTAAGTTATTTGTATTATATATACAAGTACTAATCTTTGATGGATGAATATTGTCAAAAACTCATATTTTTGAAATGTCAAAAATCAGTCTTAGGCCATACCAACTATCCGATGTTGATGATTTTATGCAATGGGCATGTAACTCAGAAGTGCTTGAATACATCCAATTGCAACTTTGGATAAAACCCAACTCTTCAAGGGAACAAGCTGTAAGCTATTTCAAAAAAGTGGTCGTCAACCATCCATGCTACCAAGCCATCTGCTTGGATGGCCGTCCCATTGGCTTCGTTGTACTCGAATTGCTAGCTGGTAAGTATGACTATGAAAGGGGTAGGGCTGACCTATCCTATGCTATAGGCCGCGAATATTGGGGCAGGGGCATCTCATCTACTGCATTAAGAATGGCTCTCTCTTCTGCTTTTCATGAGTTTACTTATCTTGTTAGGATTCAAGCTCTTGTTGGTGCCAGAAACAAGGCGTCTGAGAGGGTGCTCCAAAAGGTGGGTTTCACCAAGGAAGGTGTCCTAAGACATTATGCTGTATTAGATGATGGGGAGTGTTTGGATGTTAGTATGTATAGTATCTTATCTACTGATCCAATACTTAATTGAAAGCTAATAGTGAAAAGGTTTGCATCTCACAATCATGAGGTTGTGGGATCAAATCTCACTACACTTTAGGGTGAGGATTCTTAATGCCTCTTTCTCTAATTTTAAAGGGTCTGATAGTTTATATGATTACACATGTTGTGTTGATGTATTTTCTTTAGTACTGTAAGTTTGTAATAAAACTTTATATTCAAGTAATAAGGTTTGTAAAAAGTTCTTGTTTATTGATTGATTAATTTATATGTGCGTTTTATGTTATGTTTTGAAAAGTTCTATGTGGATAGGCCTAGATGTGGACATACTGGTAGAGTGGTTAAAAGTTGATCCGACCCGAAATACCGACTCAAACCCGATTATTAACAGACTCATTTGAACTCAAAAAAATGGTGACCCAAACCCGACCTGAAACCAACCCTAGACCCGAGTTGACCCGAATATGTGAGACCCGAATCCGAACATGAACTAACCTAGAGATGACCTGACCCGTATGTAATCCGTAAATTATTGACCTGAAACGAACCCGAACATGAACTGACCTAGAGATGACCCGACCCGTATGAAACCCGTAAATTATTGACCTGAAACGAACCCGAATATGAACTGACCTAGAGATGACCCGACCCGTATGTATCCCGTAAATTATTGACCTGAACCGAACCCGACTTGAACTTAAATTGACCTAAACCCGTTTTAACCCGTCAAAACTCAAATTTAACCCGACTTGTTACTAACCTGACCTGAATTTAACCCGACTCGTTCCTAACCCGACCCGAATTTAACCCGACTTGTTATTGACCTGACCCAAAATCAACCCGACTTGTTATTGACTCGACCCGAATTTTACCAGATCTATTACTAACCCGACCCAAAAGTTCAACCCGATCTGTTAATAACCCGACTTGAAATCAACACAACTTGTTATTGACCCGACCTAAATTCAACCCAAATTGTTCCTGACCCAATTTAAAATCACCTTAAATGAAATTTAGACCACCTTATTATTGTTGATCAAAGCATTTTATCTAGGGAGACCAAATCGGTCCAGGCAAGCAAAAGAAAGAAGCATCATCCTCAAATTTAAGAATTAAATATAGTATATATTTGTTGTATGGTCAAAGGAGATAATTATCTTCCTAAATTATAGACTATAGTTCCCTATTATATTCCCATATATATTATAGTCAAAGTAAATAATTAGCTTGCTAAAAATGATAATTATCTATTTATAATTAGCTGAACCCGAATATCACCTCACTTGGAAATGACCCGACCTGATTGTAACCTGCAAATTATTGACTTGAATATAACCTGACTTGAATCCGAGAATGACCCGACTTGAATATAACCCAACCTGATTATAACCCGCAAATTATTGACTTAAACCAAACCCGACTTGAACCCAAGAATGACCCGACTTGAAAATGACCCGACCTGATTATAACCTGCAAATTATTGACTTGAAACGAACCCGACTAAAACCCAAGAATGACCCGACCTGATTATAACCCGCAAATTATTGACTTGAACCGAATCTGACTTGAAACCGAGAATTACCCTGACCTGTTTTAACCTGTGAAAACCCGAATTAAACCCGACCTGTTGTTCACCCGACCCGAATGTAACTCGGCCTGTTATTAACCCGACCTAAACCCGATAAGAACTATGACCCGACGTGACCCGACTAAAGAATGACCCAACCCAAACCCGAGCAGTATAGGTTATGGAATTAATCCGAATTGACCCGACCCGAGTTTACTCGACCAACTCTTATCGACCATAACCCGACTTATTTACCCGAATTGACATCTCTACCCGAAACCTCCAAAATTTCTCAAAAAGCGTGGATAATAGTCTTCAATTTTAAAATTTTTTGACTTTTTTTCACCCGGAAATAAAAATTGCCGAAATTTTTACCATGGTACCTAATACCTTCCGAGAGTCTAATTGGCTAGGATGAACCATCCAATTTGCCTTTAAATGACCAATTTACCAGTTTACAAATTGCACCGATTTCATTAAGTCAAATCTACCACAAACATTTATGACAACATATAATAATCATATATGGTTCCAAACGGCAGCAGTTGACCCCGAAATGTATCCCCTAAAATCTCAATGCTTTTCGACACCGGGCCCCGAAACATTCGAAATTTCTCTAAAAACGTGGATATTAGCCTTCAATTTTGGAATTTTTTAACTTTTTTTTCTCCCGGATATAAAAATTTCCAAAATGCTTACCACGGTCCCTAATACCCTCCGGGAGTCCAATTGGGTGGGTGACACCATTCAATTTGCTTTTAAACGACCAATTTACATATTTACAACTTGCATCAATTTCATTAATTCAAGCCTACCACGAACAATTATGACAACAAATAATGATCATATATGGTTCCAAAAGACATTATATGACCCAAGATGTATTCCCTAAAATTTCAAAACTTTTCGACACCTGGCCTCAAAGACTCCAAAAATTCTCAAAAAGCGTGGATATAGCCTTCAATTTTTGAAAATTTTGACGCCCGAAAATATAATTGCCGAAATGTTTACCATTGTCCCTAAAACCCTCCGGGAGTCCAATTGGGTGGGTGGAACCATCCAATTTGCCTTTAAAAGACCAATTTACCGGTTTACAACTTGCACCGATTTCATTAACTCAAGCCTACCACGAACATTTATGACAATAAATAATGATCATATATGGTTCCAAACGATATTATATGACCCCGAGATATATTCCCTAAAATTCAAGGCTTTTCGACACCAACCCCCGAAACCTCTAAAATTTTCAAAATGCGTGGATATTAGACTTCAATTTTTGAATTTCTTAACTTTTTTTCGTCCGGAAATAAAAATTGCCGAAATGTTTACCATGATCCCTTATACCCTCTTGGAGTCCAATTAGGTAGGTGGAATCATCCAATATGCCTTTAAACAGCCAATTTACCGAATTACAACTTGCATCGATTTCATTAATTCAAGTCTACCACGAACATTTATGACAAAATATAATGATCATTTATGGTTCCAAATGGCATTATATGACACCGAAATGTATCTCCAAAATCTTATTTCTTTTGGACACCAAGGCCTGAAACTTTCGAAAGTTCTAAAAAAAGCAAGGATATTAGCCTTCAATTTTGGAATTAAAAATTACCGAAAATTTTACCGTGTTCCCTAATACCACCCGGGAGTCCTATTGGGTGGG